GGTAAGGATTTAAGAAATTAATGTGTTTAAAGTGTTTAGAACAGTGCCTGGCACGTGGGACACTCGGCGTGACTGTAGGATACATGCAAAAGATGTGGCCTTATGAAACAGGAGTAGAAAGATTATAAGGGGAGAATAAGCTGAGATTAAAAGACAATGAAATGAGGTGAAAATACAACCTGAGGGAGAAAGTGAACATGGTGAGATAAGGAAGAAATTCAATGACAGATTTTGATAGAATTAAAATCTTTTTTTTTGCATCTTTATTGGAGTATAATTGCTTTACAGTGGTGTGTTAGTTTCTGCTTAATAACAAAGTGAATCAGTTATACATATACATATGTTCCCATATCTCTTCCCTCTTGCGTGTCCCTCCCTCCCACGATAGAATTAAAATCTTTAAAAAAAAGTTTAACTATAGTTGATTTGCAATATTGTGTTAGTTTCAGGTGATAAAATTAAAATCTTTATTGGAGGCAAAAAAGAACAGATTTGACACTGCAGAAAAACATACGAAATGGAGGCTGCATTTGGAGTTTCTAGGTTCAGTAACAGAAATCCATCTCATGTTAGCTCAAGTGAAAAACGGGAATTTATTGGTTTCGGTAACTGGGAAATTCAAGCTACCTTCAGGCATAACTGGCTCCAAAGGCCCCACAGTGTCACGAGGACCCTCCTTCTCTTCCCATCTATTGGCTCTGCTTGCTTCTGTATGACTTCACTTGCAGACAGACTCTGTCTAGGTGGTCTCAAGGCTGGTGTTTCCAAAATTAAATCATCCTCACAGCAACTGATCCCAGAGGAAAGGACAGCAGTTCTTTTTTCCCCCAGCCTCAGATCCATCAGTGACCCTGGCCTTGCTTGGTTATGTGTCTGCCCTCGATTTAATCATGGTTTCCCAAGGGTTGGGGTATCTGATTGGACAACCTGTCACATGGCCACTCCTGTCACTAGGCAGGAAGGCTGCTTTTGATGGCCCCGCTAGATCCCGTGGAGTGAGGGAGAGGCAGTTTCCAAATAAATAATGCTGCTAGGCAGATTTTTAAAAAATTAACACGTGTCCACTACAAAGGAATAATTTAGGAAAATGATCCAGATATGTGGAAAAGGGCAAGTAAGTAAATTCAGTGGGGAAAAAAAAGGCGGAAGGAAGAGATCAAGCATGTACAGTAATAATTCTAGGTGCTCCTGAGGAAGAAACCATAACTAGTCTTTGTGAAAATATTGTATACTACTAAAAAGATAAAGCAGTTTATCTTGAGTGCAAGGGAAATGTATAAAAATGATAATGATTGTATTTTCCTGTATAGGACCTATAGTAGATAAGGATGAAACTTCACTGAAAGCTAAAATAAAAGATTTAAAGAAATGTAGAAATATACCTTCTCCTGTGAACAGACTGAAATCTTGTTGAGATATCATTTTTCCCTACGTTGTTTGGTAGGTTTAGTGCAATGCCCATTAAAATTCCATTTGTTTCCTATGTGGAACTTACTAGGATTATTCTAATGTTCATTAGTGAGAATAACTAGTTTAAAATTAAGAAAAAGTTTGAAATAGAAGAGTCATAAAGGGAACTTGGTTTAATGGATATAAATCATTATAGTCATACATTTAAGAAATGTGTGAATGAGACAGTGAATGTTAAGTCCTTAATATGGTAGCTGGTACATAATAAATGGCCTAAAATGACAATTATTATTACTGTTATTACTATTATTTCTCCTCTTTCTTCCCTCCCCCTTTCACTTCTCCTCCCTCCGCCTTCTTTTTCATTCTCTTACTCTGAGGACACGATAGGGAAGAGAACATTAAATAAAACGAGGCAAAATCAGTCATTGACCCTCAGGCCTGCACCTTTCCTGGGTTGATTTTCAGGAATTTTCAGAGATTTTCAGGAATCTCTGTCTTTCTTCTTATTCAAAACAGTTTTTTATAGAACACCATCTCGTCTTGAGAAGACTGCCTGGAGAATGGGGTCCCATCTGTCGTCGTTGTCTCAACACAGCGAGCATTTAGGGTTTGGATTATTCAGAAAAAAAAGAGTGTATGTGTGTTTGCCCTTCCTCTGACAAACCTCTCTTCCACTGTAACATTTTTATTCTTCCTCAGTTGTGACGGCCTGAGGAAGGGAGCAAACACATGTTGCAGACATTTGAGAAATGTCAGATGAGCTTCCCTTGGCCCTAAGTAACAGGTTAGGTGGAGGAAGATGCCTAATCTGCTCGGGTAACCTTGTTTCCGACGTTCAGACATCCTTGCAGCTAGCGAAAATCAGGAGCTTGCCGCTCTCCATGTCCCTCAGCGTAAGCCCCCGTTCCTGTGGGATGACCTCAAGCCTTGATATTCTGGGAGATCGGTAGAGACAGGCTCCTGGGCTTTTCTCCTGTGTGGCTCTGTGGTGTCCGCTTGTTTGAATGTGCAGCTCATGTCAATCTTAATATTTGTTTTGAGTCACATATGCTGGCCTCTAATTTGCAATTTACATGGATGATGGGGCCCTATTCATTGTCCCGCTCCCGCCGCCTTTGTGCTGTTCACCTCTCTTCACGCAGCCATTAGGCTGAACAGCATATAATTAGGTAACCCACGTAAAGCATAGATTTCTGAAAGGTTGCAGCTCTTTTCAAAAAGTAAGGGTTTACATTTTTACCCTCATTCTTTTCTAAACAAAAAGACATCCCCCCCTACGGCTTTCATCTGAATGTAGTAACTTAGAAACAGTTAGTCTTGTAGGTGGGTAATAATTTTGGTTTGTTTTCACCTGAGAGTCCGTTTTTGTTGACACAGTTTGTGTTTAACTTGGTGCAGGCTGAGGTTGATTGGCCATCGTTGGTAGATGAGTGTGTTGCTTTTTGAAACCAGCCAAAAGTGGCTTATTTTAAATCCCTGAAGATTTTAAACTCACCCAACAAAATAACTCAGTTTTCAGATTATTTTTGTTTCTTTTGCTACTGGTGTGCACAAAACCTACTTAAAATTGCTTAACGTAAAGCCTGTGAAAATGCAAGTAGTGAAGGAAACAGATGTTCTTGCCAAAATTACGCTAATTATATTTAAGCTGTGTTCACTTGTCAGACAGGTTCATGATTATAAACATAGTTTAAAAAGTAGTGGGTGGGGCTTCCCTGGTGGCGCAGTGGTTGAGAGTCCGCCTGCCGATGCAGGGGACATGGGTTCGTGCCCCGGTCCGGGAAGATCCCACATGCTGTGGAGCGGCTGGGCCCGTGAGCCATGGCCGCTGAGCCTGCGTGTCCAGAGCCTGTGCTCCACAACGGGAGAGGCCACAACAGTGAGAGGCCCGTGTACCACAAAAAAAAAAAAAAAAAAGTAGTGGGTGGTGAGGCCAATGCAAGCTCTTTTTTTAAAAAAAAAATTAATTAATTTATTTGGCTGCGTCAGGTCTTAGTTGTGGCACACGGGATCTAGGTTCCCTAACCAGGGATTGAACCCGGGCCCTCTGCATTGGGAGCGCGGAGCCTTAGCCACTGGACCACCAGGGAAGTCCCAGTGCAAGCTCTTAAATAGAAGTATATATACATATACTTCATTGAAATAAAATCATACAATGCATTAGGGATCCTATGAGAGTTTTAATGCATTATCGTTTCTTACACCTGATATTATTTTTGAAAGAAATAAAAATGTACCAATTTTTTTTAACGCTGCAAGGTTGAAAGGAAAATAACAAGATACATTGATATTTTCCAGAGCACTGATTCATAGTGGTCAACTGGGGAATTCATTAAAATGCAGATTCTTGGGCCCCATTTACCAAAATTCTGTTACAGAGGTTTGAGGATGGATCTCAGGAATCTAAAAATTTTAATAAGTACCCCAGATGATGCTATTGCAGAAAGCTTGCAGGCAACGTTAGAAATACTTGTTTTGTACAAATGCAATAATTGTGCATTTTGTATAGATGTTCAGTTGTACATTTCTGTGTTCTACCTTTTACATCTTGAAAAAGTGAAGATGGGTTTTAAAGGTGACTGTTACTACACGCTTTGCATTATACATTTAATAGAATCTAATGTAATGGACAAGTTGACTAGCCATCCACTGGTGAATTTGCCACATAGAACTCCATCTGGCAAATAGATAAATATTTCTTCAGCTCATGACCGATCTCAGGAAATAGAGAAGCAGGTAGGCAGTGAGATGTTTGCCCATCAGGGATTATATGAGTTGGCTTCTGGTCTCTCCTCTCATTTGTCAGTCAAGTTAATGTAAATGACCACTGTCATCTAAAGTATGTTTGGCAAAACTTATATATATTTTTCTCTTTAAATCTCTATTTTCCACACTTTGGTTTGATTGTATCTAATGTGTATTCAGAGGATGAATATTCCTTAATGTGGATCCTTTTATTGTTGGAGGATCAAGTCATTGCAGTGATATTTACTAGAATAAAACTATCAGTACCCATCACTAGGCCTCCCACATAAGGGGCATTTGAAGAGTCCAATCAGAAAAGGAAGATAAAGGTGTGGTTGGGAGGGTGAAAAAGCTGGAGAGTTGCAGAGTTTCACATACCCTCACCCCAGGAAATGATTTTCCATATTCGTGTGCTGGAGCTTATCCTGTATCCCCTAGGGGTCAAGACTGTGTGGTAGACAAGTTAACGCCCTTGGTGAGGATATTCTGTATGTGAATATGCACACATATACTTACACAGAATGACATGCTTATAAGGATGGTATATGTAAAATCTTATAAGATTGACTCTGTGCCAAGGTCTTGGGATTATATTTTTTATGTTGTATAAGTTCAGTTCATATGCAATAATGTTAGTGAGGCATTGGCATAGTAAAAAGAGAATATAGTTATCCAAATAAATGTGGCACATAAAAATTAAAAAAAAAAACAACTTAGGGTCAGTGGCTTTCTTAGAAGATTATGGCAAGGATAAACTGTGTTATGGACCTTAAGGCTAGCAGCTATATGAAACTACTCATTTCTGTTTTCTCTTTTTCAATCAAAACTGTCTCTTTGATCAGATTTTTTATAGGAAAGATGTGCAGGACACCCACGTGTATAGTGCGGAGCTTGACAGACCAGACATCAAGATGGCGACACAGATCTCCAAGATCATAAGCAATGTAATCTCTCTTTCTTATCTTGAGCAGAATTGATTTCTCATTTTTGCAGGAGACAAAGTGGCTTTGGTTGTTGGATGGTTAATTTAGTTAGTGAAATTAATCAATCTGAATTAATGGCATCTCAATTTTTTCATCTGAATTATCCATTTCACTATGTACATTATTTGGATATGTGCAGAAACTGATCAGACTTGACTTGACCATGGCTCTGTTGTCATGCTTTAAAAAAAAATAAGTACTATTCAGACATAAGATAACATTCAAATGTCTGAGCCTGAGAATCAAGTTTGTCATTCGTCTGGTCCCATAGTATCTCTCACCTTGTCCCAAAGAACTTCACTTGGCCTTGTTTCCATCTTGTTGCTGTTAATTGTGCAGGTTCTCTTTGGTCAGCATTTACCAATGCACATTTCCTGTACATCATGGCTGTTTTTTTCCTTTTTCTTTTTTTTTGCTGTACGCGAGCCTCTCACTGCTGTGGCCTCTCCCATTGCGGAGCACAGGCTCCGGACGCACAGGCTCAGCGGCCATGGCTCACGGGCCCAGCCGCTCCGCGGCATGTGGGATCTTCCCGGACCGGGGCACGAACCCGTGTCCCCTGCATCGGCAGGCGGACTCTCAACCACTGCCCCACCAGGGAAGCCCATCATGCTTGTTTTTATCTTCCCTAAGACATCCTTCTTGGTTAATACCGTTTTACTTAAACATACCTTACATACTGATTAAAAATGATTACTTAACTTGAACCAAATATTTGAGTAACATAGGCTATACTCACCTTAAAAAATCAATAATTATTTACTAAATTCAACTGCATGTTAACCAAACAGTGTTAGATCAGTTCCTAAGACTAAACAAAGCCGGAAGACATCTGTATGCAGGATGCAGGGTCTCAATTATCTAGAAATTTCTCCTGGATAAAATAAACACAATGATGGTGATGACTGGATTCATGGACTCAAACTTAGTAATTATTTTACTACAAAAAAGTTGTTCTTATAAAATCAGTTCCTTCTTAGCAGTCAGCATTTTAGTATTTGGTGAGTTGTAAGGATCATTTTTTATGGACTGAGGGTCAATTTTATTTTGCCTATTATCAATGTAATTTTTCATTGGAAAGTAGAAATATTCAACATTCTCTTATCTATTCATTTTAGGCTGAATACAAGAAAGGGCAAGGAGTAATGAATAAAGAGCCCGCTGTAATTGGAAGACCAGATTTTGAACATGCTGTGGAAGCTTCTAAACTTTCTAGTCAAGTAAGAGTCTAGTGATGATTCCACAATGATTTTAGTCAGAGATTTTGTTTCTAGCAGCACTGGAAGATATTTTACTCTAGGTAATGTCTTTAATTGCAAGAATACGTAAAGATAATGTTTCTGTAACCATGTCAGATAGGATTACAATAATTGTAAATTTCAGTAAGGGATAAAATAAGTCCAATTTTAAGCATAAAACTAAGTTTTCTTTTCTCCTGGCTCAAATTCTAACCTTTTTGTATGAGTTCAGCCATGTTGTCACATTTCCTAGGATTTCTAGAATTTAGCAAGAGTCATATCAATTAGATTAGAAGAAGAATTAAATTTCTATCTCTACACGCATACACAGAACTTTTAACTTAGTAAGAAAAATAGCAATTTTCTCAATTTTTAAATGTTTTAATCACAAAGTAAAAAAGAGGTAATGTGAATGAAGAGAACATTGAAATCATAAAAAGGATCTGGAAAAGTGTAAAGACATGCCATATCTTTGACTGAACGTCTCAATAGATAAAAATTTCAGTTTTCCCCAAATTAATATATAAATGTCATGCAATTTCAATTAGAATCCAACAGTTTTTTTGAAGTATGGGTAAATGATCTTAGAGTTTGAATGGAAAGGAAATGCCTGAGAATAGCCTTTAAAAGTATGAAAGTGAAGACCAGTGAAGGAGAACTTAAGTTGTGAGTTACCATAACATAGTATAAAACCACTGAAATTAAATCAATATGGGATTGATATAGTAAGAGATAAAATAATCAGTAGGATAGACTAGGGAATCCTGAAATAGGTTCCAATGTGTATAAGAATTTAATATATGATAAAAGTGTTGGTTCAAGTCAGTGGGAAAAAGTTGTATTAGTTAATAAACGGTGCTGACATAACTGGCCATCCATCTGGGTAAAAGTAAAATTGGACCTGAATCTTAAACCATCTACGAAATGAATTCCAGATGGATTAAAGATGTGAATGTAAACCAAAAAAATATTTTAAACCTTAAAAGAAAATCCAAGAGACTATATATACCACATAGGGATAACAGAGTTCTTAAAACTGGAGAACCAGAAGCTATAAAATAATAGTTAGACATGCTTGACTATATAAAAATTAACAACTCTTGTAATGGAAAAAGGTAACATTTGCAAAGTCAATGATAACAAACAGTAATTTTTATGCATGTGTAGTGTTTTCAACTTTGAAAATGTCCATTGCTCAACTTGCAAAAGTCTTAATTCGATTATACTTCAAAATGGAGAGATGTAAAAGAGGAAAGCTGTAAAATCTAACTGAAGATCATAAAATACTATCTGAAAAAATGAGAAGACCTACTATGTTCTTAGCTTTGGAGGGCCTGAGAAGGGCCGTGACTCCAAGCTCTTCTCAGCCCAAATAACACTCAATTGAAGAGCAGGGAATATTGGCACAGACCTGGCAACTCTTGCGGTATCGCTTTAGATTTTCTGACTTCTTACAATTTCAGCCTTTTCTGGGGGCAAAGAGTTCCTATCGGTTGTGTAGGAGAAGCGGCAGGTTCTATAAAAGCAGTACAATTTGGCTGAGTAATTAAGAAAATGGGCTGTGGACCTGGACCCTGAGTTCCTGGTCCTGCCGCCGGCTCACTGAGTGACTTTGGACAGATGGCTTAATTTCTCCATCTGCAGTTTCCTGGCCCGTAAAATGGCATGGCAGCAATACTGCTTCTTAGGGTTGTTGTGAGGATTAAATGAATTACTGAGAGCAGCTTAAAACACTGCCTGGCCCATAGAAACACTGCATCATTTCCCAGGAATAATTTTACTGTAGCTATTCAGAATAGTTTTCTACTCTGCATTTTTTACATGAATTCATGCACAAAATGAAGCAGAAATAGTTGACTGGTCCTTAGATTCTGGTCTTAAATTCATTCCTCCTTTACAATCTTATTTGAGAGTCCTTAGAAGAAAATTTTAGTATTTGAGTTTTTATTTTCACATTTCAAATGCAGTCACCAAAAATCCTACCATTTGATCCTACCTGGGTTCTTAGGCAGACTTAAAAAAAAAAAAAAATCTCAAATCATTTAATAACTGAATTATCAGATGCCTAAGCAGATTGTAATTTGCAAGTTACATTATATCTGTCATCTTTGTTTTTTTATGACATTTTTGCTGATCTCACAGTGTACAAACCCATTAGAAAAGGGAAAAACTGGGCAGATGAATATATAGGACTTCTGGAATGAACTTGGTATGTTCATTTGTATTTTCAGGTGCATTGATTAGAAATAAAGGCAGAAAGTGTAGTTTCTTATTTTTATTGACAACTTTGGAGATCATGTATTCTCTTGCTCCTAAGCTAATGAGATTGTGAATATAGGAGCCCACGAAGGCAAGTAGATACATAGAAGGGAAATAATTTAGGAATGCAGTAAGCTGGGAAGCTAGGGGCAGGATGCAAGATGCAGAACAGAAAGAGTAAGAGAGCACCCGGATTGTGAGAGGGAAGGCGATGACGGGGCAGTGCCCATGGTGTGGAGAGATAAGACACCCCAGATGAATAGACAGAAAGAGAAAGCGAGAGGGCACAATTCTCCCATTTTACCTGGAAATTGAGCTCTGTGGGATTGAACCCGGAAAAAGTAATGGAAACAAAACTCTTCCTATGTTAACTTGTACAATAGCTTTGCTCCCATAGTTGTAAAGTCTAGGAGGCACATAAAATTATGGTCAAGTAATTAAAAGAAAATCAGTGAAAAGTGAAAGTGAAATCTCATGTGCTAAGATAAAGAGATGGGTGTATTTATAAGTATCTCAGATATCAGGGCAGTAATTATTGAAGTCATCATCTTAAAAAAGTTCTTCTAAGAGTTGGTTATTTTGTTTTCATATTCACAGATCATCTTAATTTATGAATTCAAATTTGTCTATGTGATGAATGGAATTCCTTTAGTTTTATAATATCAAAGAAAATTTTGTATTTATAGTAATTAGTGTTTCTTCTAAAATTGCATTTGATGTATTGGTAAGAGAGGGTTTTAAACCTAAAACTACTAATCAGATTGATGTTAAAATTTAATAGTAAGTATTGTCCTTAACTTGTAAAGGGGTATTAACTGGTTTGGAGAATCTCCCGTTCTCCCTTCTGGGCAAGCACTCTCCCTTCCAACCTCCTTCCACCCAACTTTTGGCTTAAATGTCACGTCTTTGACTTGCTGATTTAAATTATATTGCTCTGTTCCCCTTTATTCTGTTTTTCTTTATAGTTCTTAACACAATGTATATTAGTCATATAAATGTATATGTGTGTGTTTTAAACATCTATTCACTACCACTCAGCAGGCTCTGTGGGGACAGGGTTTAATGGCGTTCATGGCACAGATTAGGCTTTCAAGCATTACATAGAGACTGATTAAACAAATTTCTCTAGATCATTCACATTTGGTTCAAAGTCAGTAAGGTATTATTTTATTATGAAAATGAGGGCAGAGTATATTTTGGGTAAAATTCAGACTTAAACACATGGATTTTATGATGAATTCTACATAAAAATCCGCTCTTACTCTCTTCCTCAACAGCTTTTAGTTCAGTTTCATCCAAAATTGGAGGGCATTGATGCCCATGGATGTGTGGCATTGTGTTGTTGTTTACTTTTCACTTTCCCTGATAATCAAGTGCACTTATCCAGTTTTCCACTTCTTTCCTGGCATGTGTTTCTATGACTATGATGAAAGGCTTTCGTTCAGGGTCTGCTTTTTGCCTGCTTTTCTGGCACTTTGTGAAACCGAGCCACAGGTGATGTCACCAAGCCCAGCACTCCTTGTGCTGAAAGCTTGAACTACGGAGATCGGAAGCCAGGCTTTGACTGTTGAAACACAGCCCTGTTCAGATGCGGTTATGAGGAACTAGCTTAAGTTCTGTCATTGCGGTTGAACAGTTCTAGTGTTTTTCTGTAGTGTGTACCTCTGAAAGTTCTGCTAAGTTTGTTAAAATTCTTGATAAAACTTTTAGGAATTTCAGCCCATATACCTAACCTATATTTTTTAAAAAGTTGGTAGTCGTTAACTTTTAGATATGATATTCATAATGTGAATAAAATCAGTCACAGGTATAACTTTTCATTTGTTTCCAGTGATTGATTTAGGTGTAAGGGGTAACACTGTGCCTTAAAACCATAGCAAAGTCACCCAACACCTATTTCCTCTTGTCTCAAATGGTCTTAAAACTGGAAGGAAGATACTTTGTTCCATGGTTGAGTCACCCATTATAATGAAAGGAAAGCATTACCCTGATCCCTTAGCAGAAGTGAGTGTGCGTGAGCAGGTGGACACTCAGACGTGTGAACTGTGGGTTGAAAGTAGGATAGAATGTTCGGTGTGTGTGTGAAGTTAGTGAGTGAACCAGTGAGTGAACCAAACTACTTGGCTATTTTCTTAGTTCATTTATGTGCAAACCTTACAGCAAGATAAGAAACAGTTGGTATCAGTGTCTGGTAAATATACTTTTTATGTAATTCAGTTATTTTACTTTCTGGTTAATTAATGAGGGAAATTCCTGCATTTTTGTTCTTTAGGTATCTTTTAAATCAGATCACATGGAGTTCTGAAGGTTAAAATAAGATAAATTTCACAACACTTCGCTTATTATTAAACTCATTAGAAGTACATGAATGACAGATATACTTTAAATAATTAATCTCATGCTACAGAAATAACCTGGAAAGGTTAGACAGCATTTTAAAATTCAAATTTTAGGGTGTGTAGCCCAATGCATAACGGTGGTAGAAATCTTTAAGAATAAAGTTCTCATAAAGATCTATTACAAGGCTATTGCAAAATTTGGAGACACCATGAAAGTTAACCTGGTCCTGCTTTTCAATGAAAGAATCCCTTCTCAGTGTAATCCATCCACTTATTCACTCAAACAAAACAGTTACTGAACCAGATATTACATGCCAGACACTATGCTTGGGGTTAGATTTTCAAGGGTGAACAGAACAGATATAGCCCATGCCTTCACCAAGCTCAGAGTCTAATGGGGAAGACCAACACCAGAGACAGTTTTGCAGGTAATTGCAGCAATGTGTGATGAGTGACCAGGTAAATTTGGGGTGCTTCAAAAATATATCAGCAGTAAATATTATAGTTTAGAGGGTCAGAGAGGGCTTTCAGAAAGAAGTTACATTTGGGCAGATGCAAGATGTGTAGAAATTTTTCAGGTGAACATTGGGAGGAGGTAGGAAGCAGTGATTTGAAGCAGGAAAGCAGAAGGGGAAAACAGAACTGGAAAGCTGTCCCACTGGTGGGCGGCTCAGCTGATAGAACATTTTCCTTATAACCAGCAGAAATCTCGTTGGCTACAACTCCTACCCATCAATACTAGTTTTACCTTTTGTACTAGAACAAATGCTATTTTTCTGTTTTTGCAAATGTTTGAAGACAGTTACCGCCTGATTCCCAAATCTCTTCAGTATAGAACTCTTCAGCATAATAAGTGATGTAGAGTATGCGTTAGATAAATAATTCTTGAATGAATGAGTGAAAGTCTGGCAGGAGCTATAAAGTATGATACACATGTAATATGTTATTTTTATATCTATTGTTTTTCATTTCCTTTTGCATTTTTTTCTTCCTAATAGGATGTTGTTCAAACCAATTTATCAGTGACTGTGGAGGGTGTGTGTTGGGGGAACAGACTTGGAAAATTAGAGGAGTATTTTATATAGTTCCAACACCTCCCTCAGGGTATGACTCATTCTGAGTCCTAATAGAGAGTTGATTGCTTATCATTTTCTCTTTAATTTATATGTTTCTTTAATAAACACATATTAAGTGCCAAATCCATTCAAAGCACTAGTGTGTCAGGCACTAGGGATACAAAAATGAATAAAAATCTATTTCTTGCTCACTGTCTAATGGGAGAGCAGACATACACAGATAATTCAAATATGTCCAAAACTCAGAAAATAGTCTAACCTTATGTTTCCAGGGAAAACTCACCTTTAATAATAGGTTAGTATTACTAAAAGTGTGTCTTGTAAAACGTCAGGTGAAAAAATGCAGGGTTCTGTTTGTATTGAAGTATTTAAATCTAATCAATTAATCCAGCTGAGCAGTGCTGGCTTCCATCAAGTTTTCTTTCAATTATTCATATTCTTTAACCTCAGACATCATAAGTGTCTTAGTTATGTATTAGCTAAATGGCAAAAATAGGTCATATCATCCTTGAGCACGGAGAGCCCATCAGACTGCCTTTGTACCCCCTGTAGTTCTCAGCACAGTTACACTAGGAGCAGACACAACACGGAGGGGGGTGTTACTTGGAAATTAATCTGACGCAGAGGGGAGAGCATACGGAAGGCCAGAGAGGGGCACATGCTGCATGTTCAAGGAACTTCAGAACACGAGGATGGCCAGAGGACAGAAATTAAAGAGGAGATTGGAGAGCTGGGAATGCCAGGTCCCACTGAACCTTGTAGCCATGTCTGGGATCCTGGTCTTCATGCTAAGCCCAGTAAGAAGTGAGTTTAAGCATGTATGTGACTTGATCAGGTTTGCTTTTGGAAGAGATTACTGACTCCAAGCCTGATGGAGTGTGTCAGGGTCATATTAGCATTCCCAACCTCAGGTAGGAACTCATCCTAACTCATAGTAGGAACCCAGTGCAGGCTCAATGTTTAATGAATAGAGGAAGGAAGGAATCATTACAGTGTAGATTGATTATTGTTTTTCAGAGATTATGCATTTACTTGGAAAGAGTAAATGCTGCCAGGTTATCTAACAGATGAGAATGTGTCAGGTTAATTTCCAAGTAACACTTCCTTCCATGTTGCCTCTGGGCTTAGTGTGATTGTGCTGGGAACCCCAGGGGTGGGTACAAAGACAGTATGGTGGGCTTTCTGTGCTCAAGTTTTGCCTTTTAGCTAATACATAACTAAGGTACTCATGGTGCCTGAGGTTGGGAACTGTGAATAACTGACAGGAAATGATGCAAGCCCGCGTTACATAGCAGAATCAGTTGATTAGATGGAAACAGCTATGGGCTGAGAGTGTTCACGGCCCTGTGGCATCAGGCAGCATGTTTTCCTCAGTAGGTGGAAAGTGTTGGTGAATCTGGCTGAATCAGGAGTGCCATTCTAGGGGAAGTCAGTTCAGAGAATCTACTATCGTCATTAAGTGAATACCTTTCAGGCACTAAAACCTAGAAGAGACAAAAACACAGCTAAGAATACTGTGAAAAATGCCACAGCAGAGGAGTGCTGAGGAGTGGCATTGTGTGTTTAGGGGAGGACCAGGTAGGGAGAATCTTGGCTTTGGTGCCAGCTACTGTGGAAAGTAGCAAAGGAGGTCTAAATTGATTCCATTGGTGATGTTGGCCCTGATTTCAAGATAAAATAATTTTCAAAAATCAAAGTTTTTCTTGTTTTAGGGAGGCCTTGCCTGTTAATTAGAACGAATGACATTTTGCTTGAATTTATAAGGTAAACTGAGTATCAGAAGTTATTATTAGCAAATGGAACTTCAACAGAAGATGTTCCCTGTGAACCATCTTGACATATTTTCCAAATGTGTTCCCACCAGGGTTTTCACAAGCTCCCACTCGTAGGTACGTGGCATGTGTCCCTGAGGGAGACCATCCCCCAATACACACTAGATTAAAAGAGGTAACATAAGCCATTCCCAAACTGCTTTTTTGTAAAGGTTTCTGCAAGGCAGAGCTTAGGATGTAGAATACAGGTGCATTCTGAATGTTGTAAGAAAACAAAATCGTGTAAGAATCGTTATATAATAAAAATTATTACAAGAAGACAAAAGAGCTTACTTTTGCTTTTAAGATTTGTGCATCCTTTCCTGCCTACAGAAATAAAAGCGGATGTGAAATGAGACTAGCTATTTTTGTTTTATTTTTGTAAAGAATTTGTATATATATTCTAATTAATTATCATAACATACATTCACATATTTCTCTATTCATGGAGAAAAATATAGTTCTACACGATAAGTTGATAATCCTTCTTTTGGTTGCCTTAAGACTACTTAAAAAAAAAAAATCCACAGTGAAGATTGGAGATGGTTCTGCCACTGAATACAATTGTGGAGTTAAAGCAGAGAAATGAAAAATGACATTAAATAGACCCAGGATGTTTCAGAAAATGTAATCCCTAACAATGAGGTTTTGGACAAATGGGAAATGATGAGAAACACCATGGTATGAGCTATGTCCTGCATTTGGAATAATTCTCTTAGGAAAATTAATATTCAAATTCTGAGATTTAGGACCCATTTTCTAAATGTGGTAGATGTTAAGACATTTGTGGTCTTGATTTCTAACTGATCATAAATGTTAGGAATGCAGAAGTGGAAACTGACATTTAAAAATCCCCAGATTTTAGTATATAATTCTTGTTAATAGGATTTGAGTTCATGCCTAATTGCATTTATGATCCATGTTCAAGTAGAGGTGTTTTTTAATTAAAAAAAACCCTTTATGCCTAATTAAGCTTTATACGGGGGTGGGGGAGTGTGGGAGGAAATACCAGGAATTTAAACTTTTGCTATCATACATTTTTAAGGTAGCTTTTATCTGATCTAATTAAAAATCAAACATGTTACTTTGAAAGCTTAAAGGTAAATGTGCTATTTAATTTATCCTTTTTGTTTCTTTTATGGAAGGTTAAATACAAAGAAAAATTTGATAATGAAATGAAGGATAAGAAACATCATTACAATCCTCTTGAAAGTGCTTCTTTTAGGCAAAGTCAGCTGGCCACTGCCCTGGCGAGTAATGTAAGTTACTTTCTGCCTCCTGACTTGCAATTCACAGAAGATTATTTTCAGTATATTTTGATTCTTGTTTTGTCGGACTTGGCTGTGTGGTACTTGTGATACTTAATCAAGATCATGTCATTTCCAAATAATTTTAGAAAAAGCTGAAGCATATTTTCTTGAAGCTTTTCTGAGAAAAATTTCATATTGTAATTTACTATCAATGGTTACTGATTACTAACTAATTAATAAGTAGGAACAATATTGCTAATAAAACTATTATAGCCGATCAAGAATAGAAATAGATTATATAGTTTCTCAGAAAAGTAGTGTGTAGTATCATAAATTAGTGATTATGACAATAGTTCACTCATGTAATTATGCATGAAATTGTGCATATTGTAAAGTATACCTGGTGCATAGTAGTTTATCATAAGGAAATTTCCAGAAATTGTACTTGAGATGGCTTACAATTTCTTTCTTATCCCTTATGTAAATTCTGTGAAATACCTCTTCGTAAGTTTTGTTTTCATTTCATGTCTTTAAAAATAAAGTTTCAATTTATAAGAAAAGATGTCTTAATTTTTTATGAGAATTAGGAAGAATATGAAAAAAGAAACATGGAAAGAAATCAATTACTTTGCTATAATTGAATGATGTATAGAGTACCTTTTTAAATGTTAAGTTTGACTATTGTTGAACTGTTGCTTTGTTAGAGCATTTAAACCTTTCAACTCCTGTCGTATCCTTGGGACTTGGTATATTTTATTTTCATTAATGTTTAGAAGGTATTGTAATTTGTGTTCATTACCCAGCTTTTGTTACCAGCAATTGAATTAGGTGTTTCTGTCTTTTAGGACCTTTGGGAATATCATAGTGATTTATTTTTCTTATTTGATTATTTTTGTGTGTGTACAAGCGTAAAACAAATAGAGTTGGGATATACTTAAAGGAACCTAGAGCACAGCACTGGAAGCTCAAGGTTTAGAATCAATTGCCTGGATTTGAATCTTGCTCCACCACTTAATATTATGCTTTCATCTTTGTGCCTCAGTTTCCTCATCTGTAAAATGGGGATATTTAAAGTATTTACCTACTAGGATTGTGGAGATTACTTAATACATATAAAGTGTTTAAACAGAAAAGTTTTTACTTGTTTACTTACTTACACAGTAAGTGCTTGATGTTTTCTATTATTAACATTTTATTATTATTATTACTAATATTATTATGTTTCCAAAGCAACTGGTTAAAGAGAAAAGAAACATTCTATATAGTAATAGGATGAAAACCACCAGAAGCTCTAAGATAGACACAAAATATAATAGAAAGATGGTGGTAATTTCTAAAGAGTAAAGTTTCTATTTTCTTCATTTTTTGCAAGCAGAATTTCTGTTAAAGTTACTTGATTCTGTTAACATCACCCTTTCTGACCAAGTAAACAAAAGGAGTTACCAAAATATTTTCAAGTCCCTGTAGTTTTCTTTTATTCATTCCGTAGTAAATGAGCACCATCTAGTGGCTCCTTGTAAATTCATTTGTCAATTTCCCGTTAAATAATACTTTGTTGTGTTTAAAATAATAATGGCCATAATGCAAAAGCGTAATATTTTCTTCTCCTAGATGGTATTTTGTTCCATGTTATTTTCATAGGTGAAGTACAAGAAAGACATTCAAAATATGCATGATCCAGTTTCGGATCTCCCAAACTTGTTTTTAAACCACGCTTTGAAAACCAGCAAAATGCTCAGCGGAGTAAGTGGTCGTTTGTTGACAACTGTAGGTGTGTGTCTCTGGAGCCGATGTGTCTGCAGTGCTCATGAGCGCACCTGCTTCCTTAGGCGAGCCCGGCCTTCACTCCTCCCTCAGTAACTCACTTAATGAAAAGTAGTGTCTTGCTTAAATTCCCACCCAGGCTGTCGCTTTACAAAGCTAGCTCTTTAATATCTCTTGAATACAAACTTTCTTGTTGAACAGCTACCCTTCCAAGTGTTTGTACGATCGTCCTTTCTGTCTTTCTCCTTCCCCTTTCTTTCTCTGTAGTAGATTGAAGCCACTTGGAAGTCAGGGATCTTTTATTTTGTACAGGCCAGAGCAGAGTGTCTGGTATTCAGTAGATAGCATAAAAGTTATCTTAGTCTAAATTATATCTTCTCCAAAAATAAATATCAAGGGTGTTTGTATTGATGCTATACTTTTACTCTTATGAAGGTTTCGATGTTTTCTTCAGCGCAACTAGGAGGAGAGGGTGATTTCCTCATGTCCTGATGAAAATATCTGTGTCCACTGCCAAGTGGTCCATTCCCTCAGAGCTCAGCTCTTACATGCTGTTACCAGCACGCAGTGCGTCTGAACCCTGACTTCACTGGCTCTCATTCCTGATGACCCTGGCTCACCTGTGCCTGTATTTCCTACATCTCAGAATGGCCCTCGGTGATGATGAACTCTAATTTGACCTCAAGTTATTTCTATGCCTATTTTAATAATTACTCAAACATTATCCAAATTTATCATATATCTGCTTTGGATCAGGCACAGATTTGATGGAAAAGTATTGATATGTTGGCAAAGAATGTGAAAAAGCGAAAACAGTCATCTTCAAGAGATGTACCCATGGTCATGCATGAGAAAAATCTGTAGTCAAACCCTGGTTCCCAAATCATTAAATAATGAGATAACAGCTTCAGTTCAGGTTAAAAATGTCTACACTTGGCTTTGATATATTGAAACTTCTGTTCATTACTTTGTAATCCTCTTTTCTTCTTGAAATGTAATCTGCGTGTAAATAATTTGTATTCACGGAGATTAATTAATTAATTAATTATCACTGGTCTCTGGAGGAAAAGCAGTCCATTATTCTTTCCTGTCTCTTGAGCAGGGATGAAGGTTGGGAGACTGTCAGGCACAGAATTAGACTCAGTCCCTGGATGCTTAATTCATGCTGTCCTGCCATTTCAATGCTTATCCCCTGCTCCTCTGCACACATGCCTCTGTTCCTTGAGTGGCTCTGTTTCAGTTATACATTTTCTGCCACGACTCATAGGTATGCTTCTAAAAATCAATATGTTTCTGTGCTCTGAGCCTCTGCTTTCTTTATGTTTAGTCTTTGCTCATCCAGTTTGATCATTGCAGTAGCATTTGACCTGGGACTCTTTCTCATCCCTATTTCGGTTAAATTTCCTTAGGACACAAGGTTTCATGTGTAAATAAGCCAACAAAAATATCATGGTGGTAATTCAAAAATTTGGTAGCTAGAAAAAAGGCATGCCACTCGTAGGCAATATTTCTTTTTAAAAATATTGACCTTGGGCTTCCATGGTGGTGCAGTGGTTGAGAGTCCGCCTGCCGATGCAGGGGACACGGGTTCGTGCCCCAGTCCGGGAAGATCGCACATGCCGCGGAGCGGCTGGGCCCGTGAGCCATGGCCGCTGAGCCTGCGCGTCCAGAGCCTGTGCTCCGCAACGGGAGAGGCCACAACAGTGAGAGGCCCGTGTACCGCAAAAAAAAAAAAAAAAAAAAAAAAATTGACCTTTATTTTATAATAGTGGTGAAAAGCAATAATAGTAATTGTTTCTATTTTCTCTTCAACAGAGAAAACCCACCAAATTTGTATATTCCACTTGTTTTATGTACCACTTATAAAGTTTAAACCTTCATTCAGGTTGCTTTTGCCTGGATTATAGATTTTTTTCCCGTTCAGTCATAGAATTGTGACTGAACAGTTACTTCATGGAAGAGAAAGTTTGAGCCAAAAAAGGTGTTACTCTGAAGTTTCTACTTATTAAAGTTGCACGATGTTACACTGGCTCGAATTTATTGTACATCAGAATTGCCTTCTTTTAAATTTTAATGTAAAGAGAATTGGGATTTTGTTGATTTACAAAGGCAACTTAATTTTAATAAAAGATTGAGTAAGGGAATGCTTAAACAGACATTCTGCCAGAATTAGTTGTCAGTTTGTTATAAATGGCTGTTTTTTTAAAGACCTCTGAATGTCTTTGATATAAATCATAATTTTAAAAATTGTAGTGTGTAGAGTAAAATTAGTGCCTTATGAGTTTTTACATCCATACTGATTAAATTTTTGAGAGAACATTTTCCTTTGGAAAATAGAGCTCTATTAGCTTTCAGTTTCTTTTATAACTGCATAAATTAAAAATATATATATTGTGTTACTCTGTATAATTCCCACTAGGAGGCAACAGAGACTATTATATAAGAAAAAACAAGTATTGGTAACCTTTTACAGATCTTAGTTCAAATAGGGTGGTTTTGTTTTGGTTTTAAAATAGGAGTTTCTGAAATTCTCTGTAACTACAATAGATCATTGAGTTAGGGACAGTAGTTTTCGACCTTTTCTCAGTATATACCCATTATCCCAGACTTTATTAGTTCTGGATTTTAACTTAGTAATGGAATGTATCCTAGCTTGTTACATTCAGTTCATAACTATTTTATAAATATATATTATAAAATAACTTGTAATCAAATTATAACATCTCTAAGTATACTGTTATTCTTTGAAATTATCTTTTTTTAAAAAAATTAGTAGAGAAGCCAAAATTTATTTAGAGATTGTTCTCTTGCGTCAAGATGTACTATGTGAACATTTTCATGAGCTTCCTGGGGGTGCTATCCTCCCTAATGTATTCTGGTTAGAGTTTGGGGAGACACATGTCTTAGTTCCCTAATTGGCTGAAAATGCCTCTGGGGACCATTGCTGCGTCCCCAGGGAAAGCAGTTTTCATGTGTAGGGCACTTGGACCTTCCATCCTTCCCATCCCTGGCACTGGGCCTTCTTCCTGCTTCACTCTCAGATCACGGAGCATCTCCTAAGGCCCAAATGTCCTAGCTCTTTCCTGCTCCCTTTCAAATGCTGCTTACCTTGCCCTCCACTCTGCCACTTTCACTGAAATCTTCATTGTCTTAGGAGCAACAAACTTTAGCTGAAGTCTCTGTAGACGTGAGTCTTTGAGAGTTGCCATTTACCTCTAAAAGTCTTTGAGAGTTACTATTTACCTCTAAAAGTCTCTTCCAAATAGGCAAAATAACTAAGTGTCCAATCTCCAGTGATAAAAATCAGGAAGCAATTTTTGTCTTATTGCTGCCTGTTGTATTTAGAGTCCTACACTTGCCAAATGTGGCATCCTTATCCATTCTGGTCTCTTCCAAATTCACCTTTTTTTTAAAAAAATAAATATATTTATTTTATTTATTTATTTTTGGCTGCGTTGGGTCTTCGTTGTTGTGCACAGGCTTTCTCTAGTTGCGGCGAGCGGGGGGTCACTCTTCACTGCGATGCGCAGGCTTCTCATTGCGGTGGCTTCTCCCGTTGCGGAGCACGGGCTCTAGGTGCGCCGGTTTCGGTAGTTGTGGCTCATGGGCTCTAGAGTGCAGGCTCAGTAGTTGTGGTACATGGGCTTAGTTGCTTCGCCGCATGTGGGATCTTCCCAGACCAGGGCTCGAACCCGTGTTCCCTGAATTGGCAGGTGGAGTCTTAACCACTGCGCCACCAGGGAAGCCCCAAATTTACCTTTTTGTCTCTATGTCTAAATAATGTCTTAATCCAGTTTCTTCACCTTAAAAATGCAACCAACCATACCCAGATTCCTCAGTTTCTCTTCCAGGCACTTCCTACCCTCTCCTTTTAGGAAAATTAGTTGAATTATTTCTCACTCTCTAATTTTCCTTATGAACCCCAATCTTTCTCAGGGCTGAACCGTTGTATACAACTTATTTTTCTTTCCTGACTCCAGCTTTCCGTTCCTATGTTCTTTCTTCTTTTCTTTCCTTCTCTTCTTGTAGATGAAATTAAATACATTTCTGTTCTAGAATAAGGGCAGGACAAGTTGCCTTTATTTTGCCCACTTTGCCTGTTCACACAAGTCACGGGTTTTCTGTTGTCACTCCTCAGTGTCGCAAATCTCTTTTACATTGTGTTTACAGCCAGTTGTCCTCTGCTTCTCTTCAGTGTTTTAGATGCTGTTCACATTGACCACCTAGAGCTGGTCTATCTTGTGTTGTCGGTTTAGCGCAGGGTCAGAAATCTGTACAACCAGCCATGGGAGCCTGGTGGTAGCTTTGCAGTTCTTGTTGGCTTGCATTTTTCAGTTTGCATTCCTAAGTATTAGTTGCTCTCATCAGCCTCTTTTATTCTGACTTTATTTTCATGTTCTCTATTTTAGCGAGAGTATAGAAAGCTTTTTGAGGAAAACAAAGGCATGTATCATTTTGACACGGACGCTGTGGAACACCTGCACCATAAAGGCAATGCCATGCTCCAGAGTCAGGTATGAGACCTCCCCAACCCAGACCCTGTAACAGTCACTGCCGGGCACCTGGACCGAGAATGTGCAGCTCCTGGAAGGAATGTGCGTCGTGAAAAAAATCTCAAACACTACGCTCTCTATATTTATTGGGCTGGGGAAGCTTGAACCATGTTTCATATGCAGGCATTTCATAATATTATAGTTACTATACACAAGTTAAAACTTATAATATATGAGTTAATTAATTAAATGATGATCATATCTCATAATTTCAATTTTATAGTGTACTGGTTTGTCATTTTGAGCTGCAGAAGTAATTTTCCAGGCACAAAGTTCATTATAATTTCTCAGTTCAATTATAAGTGTATTAAAAAGGAAGAACTATCTTACCAGTGTATTCTACATTAATGTTTCTTTCGACTGTGAAATTCTATGTACTCTCTGAAAGAAATCTTTAAAAATATCTCTTTTCTTGAACACTTTAAAGTTGATAACTTTTCTTTGGTTCTGAATTTCAATGGTTGCAAAAGATGTTATTTCCAGCATCTATTAAGATAAAATTTTACATCACACTTTTAAATGTATCCCATGGAACATAAATTCCATAATGATGTGATATCCACCTTCATTTATTTAAAAAATATACAAACCAGCTCTCCTTTAAGGTTTGGAAATGTATATGTTTTTCTCTTGTGTTCTTACTTTTATTTCGTTTTCCCCACAAAATTTTATCCTAACATAATGTGTTATTGTACTTCACACACTCTCATCGATCATTCTATTATACTTCTCTAAAACAAAAGTATTTCTAAAAATAGGAATTTAAAAATTTGTTATATTTCCTGCCACCACAAAGTTCTAAGTTTTGAAAAGGTTCTTTTGGATTTAATTACCATTAAAATTATTATTATAATACAACTTAAGAACCAATTTCATAAGTAATTATTATACCTAAGGATTTTAATGAAAATACATTTCTGAATGAAATGAATCATGATCAGAACTTTTCTGTGAATTTAATTTAAAAAGGTATATTGCTAAAAAAGCCGGCCACTCTGACAGCTTACAGAATATAATTCTAGTTTTTGTTTTCAGGAGATAGAAAATATCGATCGTTTTATAAACCGAAATTTATTGGTTTGTAACTGAAATTGGTTGTAACTGAAATAAATAATTCATGTTATGATATTATTAAATAATGCTTAGTGAAACTGAAAGAAGTCACATAAAAGCTCTGTGTGTGTGTTTCACTCAGTGTCTACAGAAAAATTCAACAGTCCCAAAGAACACTGTCTTTCCTTTGTCAGAAAGAGAGAATCACAGCTATGTTTTTCTTCTTGTTCATGATTTACTGCTAGGCATTCAAAGTTATCACGGGGATCTCTCTCTCTCTCTTTTTTCTCTCTCCTTTTTTCTCTGTCTCAGCCTCTCTGTCTCTTTGTCTTTCTCTCTCTATATGTACCTATACCTGTGTGTATAACATGTGTGTATACATATGTAACCCCACGTATATGATACGTATCTATATATCCCAGCTGTCTAAATACTTATACAAGTCCTAGAACTACATTGTTTAGTTCTAAATCATTTTTACCCCTTAAGGTTTTTAATATATTACCTGTTTACTTTCATTGTATATCATTAACCACAGAGAACCCAGTCATCAACCTAAGTGGCCAGAAGAGTGTGATTTTAGAAGATAGGGTGATTGGTTTTGCACATATATTTATTTGACTTTGCTCTATTTGTGTAAGGGCTTGTAAGCTTTATGTGCCTTTTATACTGTTTTTCAATGAAGGTTAAGTACAAAGAAGAGTATGAGAAAAATAAGGGGAAATCGATGCTTGAATTTGTTGAGACACCGTCATATCAAGCTTCAAAGGAGGCTCAGAAGATGCAGAGTGAGGTGGGTCCCTTTGTTTTGTCATCAACTGTTTAATGCAAATTTGATGTTTTATCATTGAAAGGAACCAATAGAGTGGTTCAGAATGTTTAGTGGGTCCGGAAGAAAGTACACTGCAGTGGTTGGCTGTTTCTGACATTAGGTGTAAATCAGCTTTAATGTTTAACTGTAGTTATACATTTATTATATGCTGTGGAATTAACTTACGTTGTGGACGGTGTGGGTCTTTCATTAATATTGGCTTTCAATTTTTGCTATTCTGATTTCTGGTATTGTCACTAGGGGAGAATTATCCTTTGCAGAGGCTGAGACATGTTTTCCCTTAAATTTATAGCCATTGGCTATTAGAGTTTTAGGCTCAGCAATTATGTTTCTGCTCATCAGGGCTTGAGGAGAAAGAAATCTTCCAATGGAAAATATCTTTGAACCACATTTATACTCTAAAGATTTATACTCTATAATTTATTCTGTATAAATTGGCAGATACATTTTATACTAGAAAAATAATATATCTAAAAATCTTAGACAAAGTTGGATGTGAAAGATGTCTTTAAATGCAGGACCAGCGAAGTAGAGACAAGAGATGGTTCTTATTCCTAAGGGATAAGCTTGACCATGTGCTTCTTTAAGGGCCTCCCACAGGTAAAGCTAAGTATGAACTCAGGAGAAGCCATTCATGTTTTTGTTATAGCCCATAACTAAGCTTCTCTCACTTTCTTCTAATGCCAGATGTAGGTTTAGCCAGTGTGTTTTCTAGAAGAAATCTCTAAATCTGGCTTTGAAAAGTTCTTTGTCTTCTGTTCCACAAATAGAGCTCTCCTACAAAAAGCATACTTCAGTGTTTTTTTCTATTTTCTAGTCCTATACTGGCGAGTTCAAGTCATCGTCAATCTTCCTTAGTGAGTTACTTCTGTCAAATAATTTTTTTTTGAGAGAAGGGCCTTTTGAAGTGAAAAATAAGAAATAAATAAATGTACATATATTTGTATTTCATTTTTTAGAGTCATTTCTGGCCTCAAAATGCCCTAGATTCAGCTTTATAATTATGATCTCAGTTGGTTCCACATAAAGAGGACCACTTCTCATCATTGTTCTTTGGTGCGTCTGTAGTTCCTTTAATTCAGTGTGTTTTCTTCTTAATTAGCTCTGTTAGTTTTTATAGAACATCTATGTCTCATGGCTATTCCTGGATTGTTTGTTAAATGGTAAATGGCCATCTGTAACTCAAATGTAGGGGAGGGGACAGTGTATTCTCTTATCCTCCCTCACAGTTTGGAGAATTTCTGTGCACAGTTACCTATCCCTGTAATAAGTACATAATGATCCTGGAAATAGCTTTTCATTTTGTATCAATAGGAATAAATTCATGCAGAATTTATTTATTTTTATGATCTTTGTGTTGCAATTTGAGTTAAATATTGAGCTGGTAAAGTCTGGACCCTTGTTTGTCTGGTAAGTATTTCACATGGACGCATATTTTTGTTATTTAGGGAGACTTTTTATAGTCATGAATCCTGGGTTTCCATTGATTTTCAAACGCCTAGCTCAAATATAGAATTTAGAGCCTAATAACCAAAGGGTGGCAATGTCAAAAAGGCAGATGGGGGTGTGGATTTAGGCCCTCCGCAATCTCCTTTCATTTCTTGTCGTGAACTGTTACCTAAAGAACAGTTTATCAGGTTCCAGATAAGATTCTCCTCACAGTGTAACTTGATTCATGTCAACTCCGTAGATGGTAGAGAAATATTCTCAATGCCAAAATTATTAAAGGAAAATCTCCTCCAGCCTCCATTACATTTTAGAAATGGTCTTTTGTTTCCCTTGGCTGCGCCATGTGGCTTGCTTGCAGGGTCTTAGTTCCCGGATCAAGGATTGACCCCCCCCCCCCACCCCCCCCCCCCCCCCCCACCAACCGCCCCCCTCCCCCCCAGCCCTCGGCAGTGAAAGTGCCAAGTGTTAACCATTGAACCGCCAGGGAATTTCCAGAAATGGTCTTCCTTGAATTCACATAAGACTAACATTTAAGAGGGACGATGAGGACATAAACGTTCATTCTCCTTTGGTTTGAGTGGATTTCCATGCCTCTAGATTTTCTTCCAGTGGGTGGATCCACTGTCTTTTGGGTGGACCAATCGGGATCCAGTCAAATAGCCAGTGGTATTGGTTCTCCTCCTGAAACGGGCTGATGTCAAACAGTAACAGAGTCTGAGATGTTAAGTAGCCCCTCTCAGAATGCTTTCCTAGAGGGAGCCGGTGTACTTGAAGAGCCTGCTTTTGTTTGGTAGAATTCTAAAATTTATGATAAAGTTGGAGTTATTTTCCTGTAAATAAAATATTCAGAGGTGGTAGAATTATATATGAAAAACATCAGTTTTGTGCCAGGAACCCTTGTTCTATTATCTTTTCAACAGTCACTAATATTTTCTAAATTTAAAATCATATGGTCTTATCTAACAGAAAGTTTACAGAGAGGATTTTGAGAAGGAGATTAAAGGAAGGTCATCGATGGATTTAGACAAGACTCCAGAGTTTTTACATGTAAAGTACATCACCAGCCTTCTGAAGGAGGTATGATCCTACTATTGCTATACGATTCTACAAAAGACATTTAAAGAAATAACCCAGGAAATAGGTCCTGAACAATTCTCTACTAATTCTCTAATTCAGTGTTTGAGTTATTCATCCATTACTCTTTCCCTCACTTTGAGCTTTACTAATAGAGTTTTCCATTTTCATTAAAAACAGGTAAGTGTTAACATTTCCGTTTAAAGATGAGGGAAGAAATTACCCAGATTTCCTGAAAAAACTTGAAAAATAGTTTGATTTTGTGTTTGGGTTGTAGCTTAGAAGCTCTATAAGTAGTTTTACAGCTTTATAGCAGTTAGTTTTTCAAAAAACTATTTTCAATATGGATGAGGCTAGCTTGATTCTCTCAGATTTAGTTATTGTAAGAACATGTATTAGAACCATTGTTTCCTGTTCCTTCCCTGCACTGCAGCATTCTCATGACATTTGATATCAGAAATGAGGTGCTTATTGTGACAGTCTGGATAAATGGTACATTTATAAGTGGTTTTTGTTCTAAGTAGGGAAAAATAATGTTTAGCACCTAGAACCTAGGAATTCTTGTCCATTTTTCATTTTATGCTCAGCAGGACGTCCTCCCAAGCCCCAAACTTAGTGGTACATTTTGGCTCACAGTGTATTAAATTTGTTGAATATTAAGGCCCTCAAATCTAACAATTAAAAATATCATGTTCACAGTTTAAAAGTTTTGTTTCTTTTTTTTTTAAAAACGGTTGCTAAGTAACCTGGAGCTCTTTCAATTCTCTGTTTTTTTTTTTTTTTTTTTTTTTTTTGTTACGCAGGCCTCTCACTTTTTTGGCCTCTCCCGTTGCGGAGCACAGGCTCCGGACACACAGGCTCAGCGGCCATGGCTCACGGGCCCAGCCACTCCGCGGCATGTGGGATCCTCCCAGACCGGGGCACGAACCCGTGTCCCCTGCATCGGCAGGCGGACTCTCAACCACTGCGCCACCAGGGAAGCCCCAATTCCCTGTTTAAACAGATTCTCTTTACATTAAGAGAAAGCGTTAGAGAACTCCATTTCATCCGGAATTTTGAACTGAAGAAACTATTCCTGAAAGAAATGTCTTAAGCCAGTGAAATAAATTGGAGTATAATTACCTACACAGACATGAATCATCATGAACTTTTTTAATAAGCAAATGCCAACTGGCCTTTACCATTTAACTGCTTTTAGAAATTTAATGTGATTCACTGTTGTATATATGCCGGGCTGAAACAGGCATATAATTTATGGAAGAGAGTCCTTGCTACCCTACCTCTTCTCACTTCTAGATTCTATAAAAGCTTTTGAAGTTGAAGGGTGATCATGTGGCAGCTCCCTGCTATTCTTGTCTTCCATTTAAAAAATATGCACTATTTATATGAAGTTTTTAAAGGGGAATCTTTTTCTTATTTACATACAAATGAAAATGTGAGATCTATTTTGAGAATCATAAATGACTTAAGAATTCCCTGGTGATCCAATGGTTAGGACTCCATGCTTCCATTGCAGGTGGCCTGGGTTCTATCCCTAGTCAGGGAGCTAAGATCCTGCATGGTGTGGCCAAAAAAAAAAGATGACTTTAATATACACGCCATCGCCAGTCTCTTTTATTTATCTTTTTGAGTGAATCTTATTTTAGACTTACTGATCTAGAATGTATGCATCAGTGTAGGAAAAAAGCCTAGAGACAATGATTAAAAATCTTTTGATTAAGTTATAGTGATGTCTAATTTTAGAAAGAGACTCAGTAACTTAATGAAATTGTGACTTCCCTTTGAAAGTGTGAGCATTTGGCTTTAAATTGTCTTCTCATTCTTTACTTTATGGTCTTTGCATTTCTGTTGCCATTTAAAGTATTCAAAGTATCATTTTATACTTCATTTCATTTGATTTCCTCAATTGTCCTTGACACTGGTAGGACAAGTACTTTTATTTTCATTTTGTTCTGTGGAAATCAAGGCTCAGTTACTTAAAGTTCTCTTGAAGTTCACATGACCTAATGAGTGAAAGAACTCTGACTTTCATCCAGGTCATTTGACTCCAGAGCTCTTTCCAAAATTACATGCAGGTCATTACCATGTCTTGTAGGCTATTAGTTAAGCAGAGTACTGGCTAATTTAATTAAACTGGACAAAGAGAAAATAACATCAAATGAATCCTAGAATTAACTAGAACATGATTTCTTATCATTAAAGGAAGTCTCATCTTTCATCTGACAAGTTAGTCATAAAGGCAGCTTAGTTGAATTGGATTAAGATATATATTGTTTTCATAATTCAATTAGTAAGAAGACAAGAAATTCATGAGCACACACAAAAAAACCCATGTTATATGTAAGGATTAGTAAAGACATTTGGATCTACTTAACATATATTTAAATGGGCAAAATTCAGACTATATATTATCAATCTGTGGGAAATTATTTGGTTTTACAAATCTTTGAATAAAACGGAAACTTTAAAAAAATTTTGGCCATATCAGTCCTTTTGATTTTGTAGTTTTTCATTCTTTTCCAATTATGTTCTTCTGATGATTCATATTTTATAGACAGCTTTCAAATAAATACTTAAAATAATTAGTAAGAAACATGCATTCCTAAGATCTTCCTCACCATTTAAAGGGAAGATGTCTTTTTAAAATACGGCACCAATATGGTACCAAAACATATGAGAGGAAAGGATGAAAGAAAAAAGACTGATAATATTGGAAGCCACTCAAGCATGATTAAAAAAGAAAATGAAGTATCTGTAGGAAATATAGAGCATGAATGCTCCGAAATCTGGTTCATTCCTTTCTAGAAATATTTTCTTTCTGTGGTCTCTGGAAAACATGTAAAACAATATATAGTAAGGCAGATAGCTAGTGGGAAGCAGCCACATGGCACGGGGATATCGGCTCGGTGCTTTGTGACCACCGGGAGGGGTGGGATAGGGAGGGTGGGAGGGAGGGAGACGCCAGAGGGAAGAGATATGGGAACATATGTATACGTATAGCCGATTCACTTTGTTATTAAAGCAGAAACTAACACACCATTGTAAAGCAATTATACCCCAATAAAGATGTTAAAAAAAAAACAATATATAAATTAGAGCTTCCTAGTAAGTTTCACGCCATAATATTCTTGTCTCATAGAAGGAATATAAAAAAGATTTGGAAAATGAAATAAAAGGGAAAGGAATGGAACTTAATTCAGAAGTACTTGATATTCAGAGAGCAAAACGTGCATCTGAAATGGCTAGTGAGGTGAGTACATTTATGTAACAATTGAGAATGTATGCATTTTCAGCTGATCTCCTTGTCTGTAAACCTTTCTCAGAGATTTTACAGTCGACCCTTGAACAACGTGGGTTTGAGCGGTGCAGGTCCCCTTATAGAATTTTTCAGTTGTAAATTCTACAGCGCTCCACGGTCCGTGGCTGGCTGCATCTGCGGATCTGTGGATGCTGAGGATGTGGAGAGCCGATGATGAGTCATAGGTGGATTAATCCTCTTGTTGTTTAAGGGTCAACTGTGTACAGTATAAATGTTCCACAGCTTTTATGTGTAAGATGATTATAAGCAGCTATGACCTAAAAGAGTCTTTTCCCTATCGATGAATTAAAAAAAAATGATGCTCCCCAGTTCCTGTCTATGTGGTGTGAGACAAATGACCATTTCCTCATTTTAGAGAAAATTCTATATAATTAACCAAAATAATTTAATAAGGTTTAACTTCATCTTTTAAACAAGTGAAAGGCATATTAGGAAGGTGTGTTATCACGGTCTGTCAATAACTGTAGTTTAAAAGTTCCCATGCTGGGGCTTCCCTGGTGGCGCAGTGGTTGGGAGTCCGCCTACCGATGCAGGGGACACGGGTTCGTGCCCCGGTCCGGGAAGATCCCACATGCCGCAGAGAGGCTGGACCCGTGAGCCATGGCCGCTGAGCCTGCGCGTCCGGAGCCTGTGCTCCGCCACGGGAGAGGCCCCAACAGCGAGAGGCCCGCGTACCGCAAAAAAAATAAAAACTAAAAAATTTTTAAAAGTTCCCATGCTGTCCTGCCCATAAACAAAATGACTGTCCTAGTCCTTGCCTAGCTACTAAGTGAGTCCACTTAAACCTCTGTATAAAATGATAGTGGCCATTACTTACTTTACATGAAATTTACAAGAATGAAGTGCCTCTGAAGTGCTTTAAATCCTTTAATCCTTGTGTTATGTCGTTACTTTAATAGTAAATAATGGCACTGGGCTTTGAGGAGAATCTGGCTGACTTTAGCAGTGAAAAAATTTAAAGCTTTATCCCCGTATGTTAATAAACGGTGGCGATGATGGTGGTGGTGATGATGGTGATGACCCTATTAGGTTGCAAATGATAGAAACCCAACTCAAACTGGGTTAAGCAACAAAGAAACTTTGTTTTGGTTGAAGAACAGAGAAATCCGAAGATCAGGTTTCCTTCAGGTTGGAATTCGAATGATGTCTCTCTTCCTTCATCCCTCAGTTCTGTTATCTTCGCAGTTGCTTCATTTGTGAGAGGCTGCTTCTATGTGATGGCCCCTCTTCACGACAGGATAACTCATGTCTGTGGCCACTGATCCCAGTAGGAAGTGAGCATCTGCTTCTTTAGAATAGGATTAAGGTCTAAGGATTGAATCTCATTGGGTCACCTTCTGTCCTGTGCCCACACTTGACCCAATCAAGACTGGAGTCAGGAGTCAGTTAACTTTCTAGGTAGTTTAATGATGTTTTAAATATAAAATATTCTAAATTGATATGTGTTTCTAAAGATTTACGTTCGTCTTTGGCTAGTGTTCTTTACATAAATTAAAGGAAACATTAAAAGCATTTTAATGGAATTAAAAGTATATGTGGGTAGTAGGAAATCAACCCACCCAAAGTTTATGGATTGAGAGGGGTTAGAGGTAATTCCTCAAGAGAAAATTGTAGAAGTTTTGGCCGGAATAGGGAGGAATAGATGCTGTTCGGGCAGAAACAGCAGCTGTCTGCCACGATGTCTGGCTAATATTGTCATTACACTTACCCGCGTTAGTAATTTTCTACAAATTCTTCTGTTGTGATGACATATCCAGTGACATTCAGAGTCAGATCTTGTAAATCACTTGTCAATAATACTTGGAAAAGTTGTTTTAAACTCTCAATGGCAGAGTTCAGCCAGTGAAAGGTGAATGGCAACACGGTAGCAGGAGCAGCAAAAACCCAGGTCTTCGCATGTGGGTATAGGAGTAAAAGACCAGAAGAAGCTGTCAGTTACTGAGCACCCGCTCTGTGCTGGGCACTAGGCTATGTGCTGTCTCACTGGCCCTCCCAGTGATCCTGCGTGGAGGAATTATCATCCCCAATTGCAGATGAGTAAACCAGAAATGTGAAGAAAGATTTCCAACATCACACACACGGCCAAGAGTGCTCTGACCTCAAAATCAGTCTTCTTTATAAAATATCAACTCATTTAAACTTGCCTCTGTCCTTCAGGCCTCAAGACAATTGTCAGTGAAGATTCTCACCTGGCAATAGCCTTTTTATAATAAAAATCTTCAGAGTGTATATATACTCTTCTTCAGTGAGAATAGTGAATATAGTTCTAAGCAGTTCAGAAAATTTAGTTCTAGGCGGTCATTCATAGTTCAAAGTAAACTATGTTTTCTTTTTTAAAAAAATACATTTAGCCATTTTTGGTATCATTGAATACAGATGTATGTTTGTCCCCTGAGTGTCTGAGTGTTGTAAAATGTTGCTTTTTTACAGAAAGAATACAAGAAAGATCTGGAATCAAAAATTAAAGGGAAGGGAATGCAAGTTGGCACTGACACCCTTGGAATTCAGCATGCCAAAAGAGCTTCTGAGATAGCTAGTGAGGTTAGTAGAGTGAGTGATGCAGACCTTGAGACTCGTACAAATCATAATAACAAACTGATTAGTACATGACATTTTCCAAAGCTTTCTGTGACTAGTTTAACAGTTTGGAATGGAAACCATCTGCAGTCATCATGCTTACTGGGAAAATTTACAGTTTCTGCTTTGCTCATTAACTTCAAGTATATCAAAGAAAACTTGGGGAAAGGCATTTTAATAGAACACACACACACACACAGACACACACACACACACACACACCTGCTCACTTTATTCCGTAATACAAATCTCATGTTAATTTTAAACTATGATAAATATTTTCATACCATTTTTTCTTGAAGGATGGATCGTGTGCTACTTGGCATATCTGCGCTTCCAACTTGGTGAGCAGAACTTGAAAATCACACATCGAGACTATAACATGGCAATCATGCCATTTCTGTGTGATTTGGTTGCATGTTCTCAAAATATCCTCTGTTGACCTCATCAACACGTCTGAAATTTCTGTAGGGTCAGCAATTTGGGGTTGAGGTTCATTTCTTCTTCATGTAACACATGAACAACAGGATATTAATTTAGAAGTTTTGTCTTAGATGCTATGACATGATAGATACAGGATAACAAAGTTGTAGCAGTCAGAAGGAAATGTGTATTTTTCGAAGGAAATTCCCCAGAATCAGTTCCACATCTCTTGAATTCCCCCAGAAATTTTGAAAATGTAACAGGGCCACTGGAGCAGAGAGTATTTGGGAAGAGATGACTTAGAAGAAGAATACATAAAGAGAAAGTTGGGGTACAGGTTAAGGGGTGCAGCTCACTTACCTCAAGGCTGGCTAGGGTGAGGCTTCAGTTGGGTTACTGGGAGAGCTACGATGTGACAAGTGCAGTTAGGAAGAGCTGGCTTAGGACTGAGTCCCACCCAGGAAATCTGGAGGTTGGGAGGTAGCTGATTAACTGCCGGCGGAGTTACTGCTGTGTTGGGATCTGCTTCCATCCCCAGGGTTAGGTACTGGCCAGGGGAATGGAATAGCCATAACTGACTTAGTCAAAGAAACTAGGGATGCCAGAGAATTCTTGACCAATAGATATTCCATTTAGAAATGGTGGGGGTGGGTGGGAGGATGCATGCTGAACAGGCACTTGAAAACCTTCTTTGACGCTGCCCTTAATTCTGTCATCCCCCTGAGACTGTTGTTACGAATTTGCTGTAGAGCCTTCCAGGTCCATTTTTATTTGTATATAGGTAACTATACACTTGTGCACACAGAGACTTAAAAAAACCTTAAATAAATACCATGTACTTTGTGCTTACTTTTCCCACTAAATATTACGGACCCTTTTCCATGTTACTTCACATAGTTCTACTTCATTCTTATAGAAAAATTGTATTCTATAATGTGGATGTGAATATGCAACCATTTACATCTAATGTCCTGTAGGCACGACCACATGTAAATGGCGTTTAAGTGCATTGTAACAGGGACTCAACATTACACGCCGACAACCCTTACTTTTTCCCTGGGTCTGCTTCCCTCTTCCACCCTCTTAGCAAATGGTGTCAGTGAAATCCCAGAAGTCACTTTGATTTCTCTTGTCAGCAAGTTTCATTGACTCCAGCCCCATAATGACTTCCTAGATCCATCTACTCTCCCCCATCCTCATCCAAGCTACCATCTCTATCACCTGGATCATTACAGTATCTTCCTAAACAGAGTTTTGCTTCCATCACTGACCTCTCAGTACCCATTCTCTACCCAGCAGCCAGAACAATCCTGGAAGAATTAAGTTATGTGATTCCTCCCACTGAAAACTCTCCAGTGGCTTCCAGTCATGGGCAGCATGGGCGCCATACTCCTTCCCCTGGGTTTTGCATGGTTGGTTCTTTCTCGTGCTCTCTCTTGTCATTCATTTCTTAGATTTATTAGTACTTTCTTACGGTGGCCTCCTTGAGCTTCTGAGTAGCTAACTACCCAGTAACTATCAAATCACTACTTAACAATTTTCTGCTATTTTTGTTATTATGAGGAGAGTGTGACATCCAGTATTAGTTAAGGTCCTGGATTGGAGTGTGGGAGTGGGGTGGGGATTTGGAGCTGTAGAAGAGTTTTTCCAAATCACCCTCATGGGGCTGAGACTTGAAGCCAAAATAAAGCATACTTCCTCTGGAGAAAAGAATGTGGGAAGAATAGAAATTTTGCATTTCACACTTTTACCTAAGAACTTTCTGTGACATATTCCTTTTATGAGAAGCTGGAGTGCTGCATCTTTCCTTAGTATATGGTGATACGTTACCTTATTCAGCCATATGCTGGTTTAGATTTCTCTGAGTATCTTGGGACTGTACACAGTTGACACTTGAACCACACGGGGGGTTAACCCACATATAATTTATGGTCTCCCCTATGTATCTGTGGTTCCTCTGCACCCGCTGATTGATCCAACCACAGACCAGGTAGTACTGTGGTATTTACTATTGAAAACTATCCATGTATAAGTGAACCTGCGCAGTTCAAACCCGTGTTGTTCACGGCTCAGACTTACTAGGAAAATGGTGCATTTTTGTTATTGAGAGCCTATGGGAAAAACAGGCCTAGGGGAGTCAGCTGTACTGTGGTTACAGGTAGCTTAAACCAATTTTGGTGAGGCTATTGTGTTTGTAATCCGGAGGTCTCATTTGCATGTAATTATAACCATGTCCCAGTTTGCCCAAATGACAGGCTCTCAGATCCTTTTCAACCAGACTTAGGGACTTTGCTATAGCTCAGTGTTTATTTTTTCAGGTAAAGTCAATGTGCTGTATTATTACACAAATGACGTCTAATATTCAAACCTTCCTGTACCCGTGGGCTTGACCATGTGACTTTCTTTAACCACTGGGTCATTAACACATTTGACTCAGGCTCTGAAAGCATGTGTGCATTGGGACTTGCTTGGAACCTAGATGTCATCATGTTTTTCTTTTAAGTTTTCTAAGTTTTCGGGTATTTTATTATGCATCAATATTAACTGATGTGATTAGCGTCCTATGTAGTCTATTTATGTGCTTTTGAATGCTTTTAGATTTGAAAGTTCATATCGGAAAATTAGATGACATACGTCTACCATGAGACTTTGGTGGCAAAATCTGTGATCAGTACCTTAGTTTCTACATATATTGCCCTTCAAATGAGGTGTTTTGCTTTCGGGCCTAAAGAGGCTGGCTAAAAACAGAGCTGTTTACAGACATAGTAATAATTGAATATTATTAGTTTGAAAGTTAGACATTAGTACTTGAACTTTCATTCGAAAAGTGAAACTGAGACTGTAAGTCAGTGAAAATAGGCAGATTTATGGGTAGTAGATGGGGAAAAATACAGTATTTCTCTGAGATTGAGATTTCTGTTTACGACTTCTCTAAATTTAGAACACCACAAATAAGCAAAGCGAAATCTACTTTAGAGCAGGGAATCACAAATCTACAGTATGTCAACATAATAGAAAATAACTGTTTTTGAAAGAATTTAATAGGAGGTAATCAATAGTTTTTTTCCTTTTAATATAATTTTCATTGACGAAAAACATACAGAAAAATGTACAATTATAAGAGTACAGCTTGCTGAATTTTATAATCAGTTTTAGAATGTGACAAGAGTCTCTTAAGACAGTTGTGTCTGTGTACTTACGACATTTTATTATAAGTAACAGGTAATGCAACTCAAGCTGGCTCAAAAAAGCAGATAACTTATTGTTCTTGTAACCAAACAGTAGAGGAATTCTTGGGTGTGGCTTGATCTAGGACTCAAACAGTGTGATTCCCTTTCGTTTTCTATCTTTCTGTTCTCAGGCAGGCTTTTTTCTCCTGTTTGCAAAGAGACATCTGGCAGATCCTAGGGCTACAGACTTCTCCACTCATGTCCAGAAGGAAAGAGAAAGTCTCTTGATACCTTGTGTGGAAAAAGAAATGTACCTTTCCTTGAACTGATCATGAAGGGCCAGGGGTGGGCTATAACGATTTACTTAAGCCCAATGGGGCCCTTGGATGGCGGCCAGTCTCAGCCAAGCTGGGGGCTGAGAACAGGAAGCAGTGAGTTGCCCAGTGGCAAATCAAGGAGCTAATGAAGGAAAAAGAGGAGTGGGATTCCAGGGAAGCAACCAGCAATTATTCACTACAGAACAAGACCTGACAATTTTATACTCACATTTTATTGATATTCATCAACTGAGTTATATATTAACCAATAATTTATCAATTTTACCATATTAAAATATAAAACATTTTCCTTCAGCTCACTCTGTTTTCTTTTTTAAGTCAGGTTAGTAGAGAAAACCTCCTGATTCCTTGTGAATACATCACTCCAAGTTGTGTTCTTGCCACAAATTAAAAATCTTTGTTGTTTCCTAGAAATAAAAGACATAAAGGTCCGACTTATTTCTAAAAGCCATGATCTTGATGTCAAAAATGACATCGAGTTTTTCAACACAGATTTTCAAATTATTGTAAAGCCCTAATTGCAGGTTTTATTTTCTGCAGAAAGATTATAAAAGAGATCTGGAGACTGAAATTAGAGGGAAAGGCATGCAGGTGAGCACAGGTACCCTCGATATCCAGAGAGCTAAGAAAGCATCTGAAATGGCCAGCCAGGTAAGAAACTAATGGCACACACAGTTTAAAACAAACATACCGAATTGCATACGGAAAAGTATAAGTGGTGTTTCCATACGTGTGGCATTGAGATTCAAACACATAAATATCTACATTGCTGTGGAAGGCCATGCAAAGCTCTGAAGATTGTTTTCTGTTCTTTTAGAAAGAATATAAGAAAGACTTAGAAAATGAAATTAAAGGGAAAGGAATGCAAGTGAGCATGGATATCCCGGATATGCTTCGAGCCAAGAGGGCATCTGAAATCTATAGCCAGGTTGGTAGAGAATGAAGATGCTTAGGATAATGTATTCTAATATCCAGTCACCTTGTGCTGTGTGTGTCTCTGTGATTGGTGTCTTTTTGAGGGCTTTCTATTCAAAGTCAATGCACTCTATTATAAAGGAACCATTGACCAAACCTGATTACCTCATTAATGAAAGGGACAACTGCTGTAGTTTCAGTTCAACAGACATTATTGAGTGTCAGAGCGCCCGTGTTGGGGCCCTCTGTTTTGGGTCCAAGGGCATTTTGACCTTTTTAATTTCCATTTTTTGACTCTATTGTGAACTTGGCTCTAATGCTTATACTACAGAAAAAAATTACAAACAATTTGTCTTTTATCCATTTCATCATGAATGTTTTAATTAAAATAATCAACTTCAACTGAAACTGAGTGAATAAAACTGTACTAGGTGAAATTGAATATTAACTAAAATTTAATGGAAGAACTAAGTTTTCTTGATAAAATTTAATTTGCCAGGTATACCCGTAACATATCCTCTAGAAAACTGGATGTGAGAGAAATAATGACCACAAAAGAAAGTTTATTGGAAGAAGAAAGTTAATCAGATAAAATCTAATTTGGGCAAAAATATTCATTAGTGAATAATTTCTTTGTTATAAAATTTGTTACAAAAAGAATGAATCCTAATGGAAAAATAGTAAAGGGAATGAAAAAAAATAAAATGGTTAAAGAAAAATGATGAAGAAATTGAATTTGGTTAATGGGGTTTGTGTTGAAATAATTTTTAACCGAATTTGACCAAATTTGTCAAAATTCTGGTTGACATGAGCAAAGAGTCTAAACATTCACTGGTTCAAAATGAGAGAGTTACAGGACTCAGCTTCGGTGGCTTGTCACTCAAGAATCCAATACTGGGCTTCCCTGGTGGCGCGGTGGTTGAGAGTCCGCCTGCCGATGCAGGGGACACGGGTTCGTGCCCCGGTCCGGGAGGATCCCACATGCCGCGGAGCGGCTGGGCCCGTGAGCCATGGCCGCTGAGCCTGCGCGTCCGGAGCCTGTGCTCCGCAACGGGAGAGGCCACAACAGTGAGAGACCCGCGTACCACAAAAAAAAAAAAAAAAAAAAGAGTAAAAGCTTCCCATAGGAAGTGATGCCTGAGCTGTTGGAATTCCTGCTTTAACTTAACAGTGTTGATTTTTTGAGTATGATGAGGGTACATCTGATTTAAGGAATTTTAGTTATTTGGGATACAATGGAATACTTAAAACGGTGTAATGATGCTGTGGTGCATTTCAACATGAACAGGAATTACCTTTCCTAACAAGCATCCGTATGCCATGCAGTTACCTTCCCTGACTTTGGAGCCAGAGTGCCTGGGTTTAAATCCTGGTTCTGACACTTCTTAGCTAATCCCTACATTTCCCCATCTGTAAGAGTGGATAATAATAGTATCTGCTTGTGGGGTTAATTAAATGAGTTAATGTGTGTTAAGTATTTAGGACAATACCTAATACTATGTAAATGCTGGCACTAGTAGAAGGAATTGCCCAGGATGTATCAGAGCTCAGAGTACATTTTTTTTTTTTTAAGATGTTGGGGGTAGGAGTTTATTAATTAATTAATTTATTTTTGCTGTGTTGGGTCTTCGTTTCTGTGCGAGGGCTTTCTCTAGTTGTGGCAAGCGGGGGCCACTCTTCATCGCGGTGCGCGGGCCTCTCACTATCGCGGCCTCTCTTGTTGCAGAGCACAGGCTCCAGACGCGCAGGCTCAGTAGTTGTGGCTCACGGGCCTAGTTGCTCCGCAGCGTGTGGGATCTTCCCAGACCAGGGCATGAACCCGTGTCCCCTGCATTAGCAGGCAGATTCTCCACCACTGCGCCACCAGGGAAGCCCTCAGAGTACATTTAGTAGAAAGAAAATTGAGATTTCAGTCTCCACTACAAAATACTAGTACCTTTCTCTTAATCAGATGTATCTTTATCTGAAGTAGGAAGCAAAACATAAATCCAGAAGCATGAAAACAAGTAAGCAAAGAGAGTCAGGTTACTGGTAGGAGTTCTAAGGGCTACTTTGAACAGGAACTGGGACTGCTCCTGAGAGAGTAGGTTCTAGGCGTAGGAATGCTATCAAGGTCAAGCCCTCCCAGGGCGTTTGAATAGTCTAGGTTGGGAGGCATTGCCTGAGTGGAGGTGAATGTGATTTCCTAGACTGTTTGCCTACTCTGTTTGCATATGCTTTTATTTTTACTATGGCATAAGCACATCAACAACTGCTTTGAATCCTAAGATATAATTTAGAGCCAGGTGGTATATAATAGAATTGGGAAAAGTAGTACCATTTTCTTTGTCTCTGTCTCTCTTGTACATGCGCACACAGAGTTTCAGATTCACATTCACTGTTTATAATTTTAGAAAAAGTATAAAGATGAGGCAGAGAAGATGCTTTCTAGCTATTCTACTGTGGCAGATACTCCTGAAATCCAGAGAATTAAGACAACTCAACAAAACATTAGTGCGGTGAGTAGTCATTATTTCTTTTCAGTTGCCACCTTGAAATTATGTTTTGTAAGGAGGGCCTTTTTCCCTCATTGTCTGATTTTTGGCTGCATTGCTAGGATTTTCTGTCAAATGTATATCTTTCCTTCTTTAAAATAATAAGAATACCAAATGTTCTTACAACTTATAATTTATCGTGACTGTTGTAGCATTACAAATTCATATCTCCTTCTTTGGTACAAGCAACTGCTATTTTTAACTGAATTTTAAAATTTCACTCAAGAAAGAGATCTTAATCTTCCACACAGATTTTACTTTGAAGAATGAAAATAGTCATATGAAGTGATTTCCTTCCTGGTCATTGATTATTTACATTGATAATATACTTAGGGGTTTAGCAGTTTGTAACCAGTTCCTAAACTTTCATATTTTTGTTCTGAGGCATAGGAATTTTGTCAGCACCATTCATTAAGATATTGGGCTTATATTTAAGGGATATATAAACTTGAATTCTAAAATAAAAATTGATGGTACAGCTAATATTTTAATGTAGAATGAACTCATTTAGTAGTTAGGCAAATGTGTTATTAAAAATATAAATTCTATTATTTCTGAAGATTTCTGGAATATTTTCTGCTTCTAGTAAATTGGCAAACTCTTAACCCTCCAGGTGTGCTGCTCAGGTACCTTTAGGGTCTTCACAGGCAGGCGGTGCTGAGAAATGGAGAAATCTTGCTGGAGGAGTCGATGAGGGAGAAGGGCAGTGTGGCTCTTACCTCCTGTGATTCCACGGTCTCCCAAATTTCTAGCTTTTGCAGGGGAACATCTCTCATGTCCTGCTCTCCTGACCCCCACTGGTCCTGGTGGTTCCAGGGCCCCCCTCTCCCCACCCCGACTCACACACACTCACGGGACCCGCGGGTTAACAAATATCCAGAGAGGGAGTAGTTCTGTCCTCGTATGACTTCCTTATAATTATTCTATTCTTCTGTAGGACACTTTGTTTTTTCTTTTGCTTTGTGTTTGAAAGGGGTGGGTATTGGTAAGGATGGGAAGGTCTAAGGAATAAGTGGAAAGATAAGGAAAATAGGCTGACTTAGTGTTGATGTTGAAGATAGAGCTAATGTTTTCTTTGAAGAGAACGAGAGCATCTTTGCTCTCATTTGGAGAATAGCAGTTGCTTAAAACTTCATGCTGGTTTTGAATTAAATGATAACTGCTTAGTGAGCTTTTTTAATATGTCCTTTGATTTTTCTCAAATACACATGTGATATGTATTTGTATTTGAGAAGGAAACTCTAGTTTGCTGATTTATATTCTCAGATCAAGCCTTGTAAGTTACCAAGCATACCCTAGAACAGGTAGTAGAGGTTTACTGTAATATTGTGGAATACAAAACCAAAGTTTTGCATTTATTCTCATAATGGATTATTTAATTGATTAACGTGACATTGGTTCTCATAAATAGAAGCTGTATTCACATTACTTTAAAATCTGAGAAATTTTCTTTTTCAAGAATCAGATCTCTAAGACTTGAATTCTAATAAGCTTATAGTTATTCTTTTCCTTCTCTTATAATAAAGGTACTTTATAAGAAAGAAGTAGGAGCTGGCACAGCAGTAAAAGATACTCCAGAGATTGAACGAGTGAAGAAAAATCAGCAGAATATTAGTTCAGTAAGTTCTCTATAGCATTTTTTAAACTATAAATTTATTTATTTATTTATTTTTGGCTGTATTGGGTCATTGTTGCTGTGCGCTGGCTTTCTCTACACTGCGGTGAGCAGGGGCTACTCTTCAGTGCGGTGCACGGGCTTCTCATTGCATTGGCTTCTCATTGCAGTGGCTTCTCTTGTTGCGGAGCATGGGTTCTAGGTGCGCAGGCTTCAGTAGTTGTGGCATGTGAGCTCAGTAGTTGTGCTTGCAGGCTCTTGAGTGCAGGCTTCAGTAGTTGTGGCGCACGGGCTTAGTTGCTCCGCGGCATGTGGGATCTTCCTGGACCAGGGCTCGAACCCGTGTCCCTTGCATTGGCAGGCAGATTCTTAACCACTGCGCTACCATGGAAGCCCCCAGTTCTCTATAGCATTAATCATCCTTTCCAAAAGCAAACATAAGCTAGATAAATGTTTTTGGTTCTTTACTAAACTGGCTGCCTTTTTTTCTTCACTTTGTTGAAGCACTATTTCATCAAATATCAAAGGTCTAACTTTCAGAAGGAAACTGTAGCCTTGTTCCCCTTGAACCTAAAGCAGTATTTCATCTTGATATATCATAGGGCATAAGAGATAGATCACTTTAATAGTACAGTAATGAAATCTAGGATTAGATTTCACCCTTTTGAACAGAATTTTAAGTGTATTAAATTTTTCAGAGAAAGGATACATTTCAATACCTTTCCACAACTTGGAGGAAAGAAATTTTACCCTGACAGAATGATTAAAGGCCCTAGAACATTCATTTGGTGGCTTAAGAGAAGGTTTCAAAGAGACCCCATTCGCCTTCTGCTTCTTCCAATTTCCAGCAAAGGAAAGCACACACCTTCACTATAATTTTGTAAAATAAATTACCTGCTTCCCCACCCCCAGTTCCCTTTTGAGCTTGGGGGAAGGGTAGAGGAGGTGTTTAATGTTATGGATTAAAAACTTCTTCATTCAGTGCTTGACATTTACAATGGATAATTGCTATCCTTACCAATAGGCATATTTGGTAATAGTTGTTATCCAGTCATTCCTTGGTATCCATGGGCGTTGGTTCCAGGAGCCCCACCAACCCACACTCACACACACTCATACACATTCATACCAAAATCTGCAGATGCTCAACTGCCTTACTGCTGGCCCTCCATATCCACGGTTTCACACTGAGGAGGTGAAGGGCCTACTGTATTTAGCTTCTTGCTGAGGAACTCAGTAGGGTTCTTTCCTCGCTTGCCCTTGCCTGACCTTTCTCTTCACCTTCACCCTTAGAGGCAGAGTTTTCTTGAAGTCATCCAAGTAGAACTGCCTTGATTAAACTCCTCTGTCAGGAACTCTGACGGTTACCTGGCATCTTAGAATGTGTGCACTGGCATTTGTGGAGACAGAGTAGGAGAGGCAAGGTAATGCTGTGGTAAACAGACTTCAAAATGAACTTACAAAAAATCTGCAGAATCCTAGTGCACGAAAATCCCTGTAGCATGAATGAAGCTGTGCACGAAAATCCCTGTAGCATGAATGAAGCTGTGCACGAAAATCCCTGTAGCATGAACGAGGCTGTGCACGAAAATCCCTGTAGCATGAACGAGGCTGTGCACGAAAATCCCTGTAGCATGAACGAGGCTGTGCACGAAAATTTCTGTAGCATGAATGAAGCTGTGCACGAAAATCCCTGTAGCATGAATGAAGCTGTGCACGAAAATCCCTGTAGCATGAATGGAGCTGTGCACGAAAATCCCTGTAGCATGAATGAAGCTATCTCCTGAGGAAAGCATAAGGAGGAGGACCTGACGGTGAGGATTCCGATCCGCCACGGCGAGAGCCTGTGTCAGGCAACGCTAGAGTCTGGTGGAGAAATTCGTTCGGCTGAGAAATGTAAAACGGTTGTTTCCTTCACTTCCAAATGATAATATTTGAAATGTACCCATCAGTGTACTGGTGTATATAATGTTATAAACGTTCTGTACTGTGCAGTTCTATTGCCTACAGTGAAATGACTGGTTGGAGTCGTATGAAAAACAGAAATGTTCATCTTTAATCATGTTTAGCTTCTCACCCGAGGAAAATCACAGAAAGTAGTACAGTCTATCATTTCGTCTCCCAGCATCCCACTGCCCCTTCTAGCAAACAATAGTAGTTCTGTATCTCTATGAGGTTGGGCCCTAAACTCCTGCTTAGTATTCAAATGGAAAGTTGCCCTTTCAAGATTAGCTAGATCTGTCGAACCAAGGTAGGACTCTTTTAACATTTAAAGATCTCGGCATTTTCCACCTCCAGAGTAAAAGTCTTTGGGCTATTAGCTTTCTCTGTTAAGAACTACTTTTGAATCTTAGTTAGAGCTAGTCTGTCTCAATGTACTCTCCATTTAACTGTTCTGGATCTGGCCTAATATTGACGTTGTTACTCATATCTCACATTAAATGTACAGATGCTAAGATGTAGATCATCGCAAAGATATTTAGGTATCGTTTCTTTATGACTGTCAGTGTGGATTTCAGCTTTAATCATTTTAAACATTACCAAATGATTTCTAAAAGATGTTTTATGTAGATTTAAGTCTTGGCTAAATGTCAACATATGCCTCTTAAGTCTAGCCCATGTTTCCGTACATATATGTGTGTGTCCTTTTTCTCGAATCCAATCTTCCATGAATTTTACACATATTAAAATACCACCTGATATGATAGCATCACTAATCATTTCGTAAATTTAAAGAGCTTGTCCCAGGCATAACTGTGTGTTGGCATTATCATTTATCTGGTTGATCTTCCTCTAAATAGACTTGAACGAGGAGCTTTTGATTGAAGCAAATGCCGGGATATAGGCGGGCTTTACATAATATGATTGTGTGGGTAGAAGACACTTCCTGACTTTCTGCCACTGGCCCATCTATAGCGATCAGCACTCAGTGACCTCTGTTTGTAGTGCATTTCCCTCCACCTTCCCCTTTCTCTTCTTTTATTTTTTTCTTATTCTGGATCATTTGGGTACTCTCGGTCAGATACACAGTGTTTCCAAGACTTTGTAGCTAACTCAGTTTGACTTTTGCCTTTAAATACATGGTGAATTTCAATTAACATGTTAATAAATAGAAACTGCTTTTCAAATAGAAAATAATAAGTTATTAAGATAATTTCCAAGGTTTTTGGTGCATCTGCCTGATGATAAAATTTATTTTCACAAGCAATATATGCTTATTTTAATTAAAAAACCTCTTCAGGGCTTCCCTGGTGGCGCAGTGGTTGAGAGTCCGCCTGCCGATGCAGGGGACACGGGTTCGTGCCCCGGTCCGGGAAGATCCCACATGCCGCGGAGCGGCTGGGCCCGTGAGCCATGGCCGCTGGGCCTGTGCGTCCGGAGCCTGTGCTCCGCAATGGGAGAGGCCACAACAGTGAGAGGCCCGTGTACCGCAAAAAATCAAAACAAAAAAAACAAACAAAAAAAAACCCTCTTCAGTGATGGATAGGTGAATGGATATGGGTTTCTTTGTACTTCAGGATAAAGGAATCCTGAAAGCACCAGATGAAATAAAAATTTGTGTTCCCACTGAAGGAAAATTAATATTGGAATTAAAAATTCAACTATGCAGTAGTTACAAATGAAGAATTCTTAACTATTTTTTAAGCCTTGTGTTGAATAAAACTTACATTTTAAAAAATAAATCATGCAGGTAAAATACAAGGAAGAGATGAACCATGGAACAGCCATTTCTGATCCACCAGAGCTCAAGAGAGTTAAAGAAAACCAGAAGAACATCAGCAATGTGTGATCATATTCCTTTAAGTATTGTTTTCTGTGCGCATGACACTTGTCCGGGTGAAGTACCACTACGATGAATACCATTGTAGGAGGGCCAGTTCCTGAAAGGTGGAGATAAGATTTCACACATATTTATGTTGGGGTAGCATTACACCAAGCATGTGTATTTGCTTATTAAAGAACATGGTATTGAATGCCTACTCTGTTCTTGTTCTTGGGGGCATTCAGAGATGAGGTTAAGGTCTTAGGGGCTGTGTGTATTCTCAGGGTCTCTAGGAGAAGCAGCTGTGGCAGTAAATAAAGATGGTGCATTAAGTGCTGTAACAATAATTAATATTTACTGGGTGTTTACTACGCTTTTTGAGTTCTTTACATGCAATATCTCATTTAATATTAAGTAATAATACTGTTTTCAAAGTGCTGGGGAAATGCAGAGAAGGAAGGCTATGTCAGTGAGAGAGAGGAAAACCCTTGGAGAAAGAGTAACATTTGAGTTAGGTCTTGAGGAATTGATAAAAGTTTGGGGTGGATTTCGTGAGAAAGGGCCCTCCTGGCAGTGCCAACTGAATGTATTCAGGATCCAAGATCTGTTCAAAGAGGGGAAGGTTTAGTGTGATGGGTACTTGGGGCGGAAGATGGCAGGAGAAAGGCAGTGGAGAGAGAAATCATAATTCAGGCCATGAGGAGGCTGTTGGCACTGCCAGTGCCCCGACATGGTGATTCAGATGCACACGGTGGCTGCTGCCGCTCTGGCCTTGACTTAGGGATTACATTGTTTTAATGTGTCCTTTTTTAAAAAATTATTTTATATTGGAGTATAGTTGATTTACAATGTTGTGTTAGTTTCTGCTGTACAGCAAAGTGAATCAGTTATACGTATGCATATATGCATATACATATATGCATGTCTATGTATAGATATGTATATACATATGCATATATGCATATCTACATATGCATGTATATATATGCATGCATATGTATAGATATGCATATCTAAAAAGATTCTTTTTTCGATTCTGTTCCCATATAGGTCATTACAGAGTATTGAGTAGAGTTCCCTGTGCTATACAGTAGGTTCTTATTAGGTATCTATTCTATATATAGTAGTGTGTATATGTCAATCCCAATCTCCCGATTTATCCCTCCCCCCATTTCCCCTTTGGTAACCATAAGTTTGTTTTCTACATCTGTGACTCTATTTCTGTTTTGTAAATAGGTTCATTTGTACCATTTTTTAAGATTCCACATATAAGCGATATCATATGATATTTGTCTTTCTCTGTCTGACTTACTTCACTCAGTATGGCCTAGAGATTGTCATAATGTGTCCCTTTTTCTAAAAGAAGGGTTACTAGTTTTCAATTTATCATAGAAACATAACACTCCCTTAAAATAACTATTTGAAAATAATAATGAGTTAACTTAATAAGAAAATACTATAAATCACAGCACAGGTGATATCTGGCATGTCATATGGGAAGTGGTGTGTACATGGTGGAAGTTTGGATAACACTGGAATAGTGGAGAAGAATATGGGCCCTGGACTGTTGGTTTGATCCCAGCTTCAGGCCCTACCTGCTGTATAACCTTCATAAGCTACCAACCCCTCTCCAAGCCTCAGTTTCCTCATCTATAAAACAGAGACTAGAATATTAAGTGAGATATTGCCTGTAAAGACTCAGCATGTTTGTGAGTGGATGAATGCAATACATAAAGAGTCTGCCTATCAAATTTATGTCCCCAAACTTATATCCACTAGAAATTGGCTACAACAGTTTCTCAACATCAGTAATGCTGTTCAACAATTTTTTCTCCTCTGAACTCAGCCCAGAGTAATCTTTCTTTGTATCCTGCCATCAATAGAGATTACACTGGACCTTTCCTCACTTCAGGCAGTTATCCAACACAGAATCTGCCTAAACTCTCAAACTGCATACCACGGCACAGAGAAAGAAATCACACTGGCAGGGACCTGACCCTTTCTCATTTATTTTCCAGGCTTATCAAATATCTGTTCACTTGCACATGCACTGCTGAGGGTGTACATCTCAAGTCCATTTTATCTGCAGGCCCTGTAGGCCTTGTGATGTCTTACAAAAAAAAAAAAATTCTCTAACACTAAATTTAAACTCCAAAAAATCGTTAAGACTGTCCCCGTGGAGTTCCTTATAATGGGATTTTTTAACCTCTAGTTTTCCTTTTACCTGTCAAAAATTCATTTGATGGGCATGTCATTTTATCTGTCTGTGTTGGATCCTCATTTATTTTCCTGGGGTGTTGTGGAATTGTCAAGAAAGCTGACCACAAACGTTGGGTCTGATCCCCCAGCTAAGAAAGCGCACCTCTATGCAGTCAGTCAGAAATATCTCCGTAATGCTAGCCAGAGCATGGGCTTCTAATGTTGGAACTTGGTAGAGGAAGAAACTTTGAGGTTCAGGGTTTCTTTACATAGTGACAGCCACTCAGTGAGGTGCAGGCGTAGGACTGGCATAACCCTCGATTCTAATGATAAGAGTGCAGAATTTTAATTTTTAAATATAAAACGGTCATTTGGCAATGGTGCTTTAGTGCTGTAAGCTCACAGAAGGGATCATTTATCATTGCCGATAAGATCAAACTCAGAGAGGCCACCACTAAATTATGCGGTTTGCAGAATAACAACCCAAGGTAGAATTCAAAACATTTGGGCAAGAAAAAGCTTAGATCTGGGATCACTGTGATGACGAAGTCTTTTAGCAAAGCATATTTCACTCTAAAATCCTAATGAAGATTTTAGCTAATGAATGCTCTGTCACTGTGTAACGTTTCCTTTAGTCAGTTGCAGTGCGCTAGCTCACACTTGCTTCCCATAATCCCACTCTGTTTCGCGCTTGTCTCTCAGCTCCGGTACAAAGAGCAATGTTACACAGCAACTCCAGTGAGCACGACGCCAGAGATAGAGAGAGTGAGGAAAAACCAGGAGCAGCTGAGCACGGCAAGTTGTTTCTGTTTCTTCTTATATTTTACCGAACAGTATATATTTGTATTCTTTACAACGCCTTCTGAAAAGGCATTAGACCCTCTACATCTTGGCCGCTTCTTCTCCACGGTCACATATTGAGGGGCTGGGACAGTAGACCTCTCGTGTGAGTCCAGAAAATTGGGGACTGTCTTGCTGTCCTTCAGTCCTGCTTGTTTATTCAAGAAATCTTCATTAGGCAACGTGCCAGGCATTATCCTGGTCACTGGTACACAAAGATGGATAAGACCTCATAGTTGGTAAATCTCTAAAACTACACGCAGATTTAAAGAATAGTATCGTGGGTCTGTTGTCAATCTGAGAAAACAGATTGTCTATTGGCGTAAGGCAAAAGAAGACCTGGCTTGACTGGGGTTCTAAGACATAATGTCAGGGCAGGGAACCTTATAAATAAAACAGAAAACATTATCCAATCAGTCAGCAATCTATTGCTAATAAAGGAATGGTAGTTAGCAATCCTGAGGTTCCTCTAATGTGGACCCTGTGCTAAATGCTTCACATAAATCCATGAGGTTGGCACGATTTACTCTCCTGGTTTGTAGGTGTGCGAAACTAAGGCTTGAGGAGTTAGAGAACACGCTGGGAACCCACGGTTTGTGACAGCAGGGCTGGGATTTGAACCCAGGCCTCCCTGAATTCAGAAATCTCTTTCGGATGTGTCCCCCAATAGTTATTTTTCCCATTCTTTCACCCTTTTATGGAACTTTTACCATTATAAACAGTAACCTTCTCCTAAAACGGGTAATTTTGAGAGACTTTAAAATTTAAGAGTGAGTTCAGGCTGATGACTGCTTCATCCTTACAAGATCCCTGATGATGGTAGGAGTGAGGAATCTGCAGCTCCTTTTGAAGGTGGAGGCTCCAGGGTCAGAATGGGAGTAAAGCCAGCTTCCCAGGCTGCCGTGGCTACTTCACTATAGTTCTCTTGTAATGATTTCATTACAGTGTTTTCCCCTTATATTTCCATTACATTTAGTTGTGGCATTTGCAATTAGTTTTGGTATTGAACAGCAATATATTTATTTAAAAAAATCATTTTTAAGAAGCACAACACTTCGTGCTTGCTAAGTTAGAAGAATCAGAATCCAGGTGCATTTGAACTGAAAGGTTGACACGTGTCTACTGTGGAAAAACATGTTTAAAAATTAGGGTTAATCTTGAGGCTCATCCTCTGTTGCTATTTGGGTGGAGACCATGCTACTGTTTGTTAAAAGTCTTATTTCTCCTCCATAGGTAAAATACAGAGGAGAGATTAAACAGGCAACGGCAATTTCTGATCCACCAGAGCTGAAGAGGGTTAAAGAAAACCAGAAGAACCTCAGCAATGTGTGATCTTAGTAACTTTTTTCTCACAAGAGCAAACATATTGTCAACATGTCAGTGAAGGGGTCGTGTTTACAAAGTTTTCATGACCTGGAGTTGATACTCTGCTCTCAATTGACTGCCAATTTATTGGAAAGGTTTCAAGGTCTTAGGTATTGTGGGTCCAGCCAGGCATTCCCTGCTAGAGTTCCCAGGGACTACAGTGTGATTTTTGTTTGCAGGTTACTGTGCATCCCTCCTTTCTGGTCTTCCTTCATGCTTGTGGTTTCTGTGGTGCCCCAAAGGCTTACAGTGGCAGCTTCGGGCATCTTGGCCCTACAAATACGCTTTCCCAGTCCCTTTCCTACATATATATACATATTCTCGTTCTGTAGCCTTTCCGGCCCTGACTCCCACTCCCAGCTGTTGTCACTTTATTTTTGGATGATGCTGGGGGAAAATTATAAAGTGTGCCTGGCTGAATAGGTCACATGGGACAGGTCCATTCGGGGGGCACTTGTTGAGGGGCTGTCACTGTTTACTCAGACACCAACTCCTGTCCTGCTCTGACTCCTTTCTGTTATGTAATCCGTGGATGCAGGTCACTGAGAGAATCCTTTTTTGCAGTCATTAATATATAAATTGGGTTCTTTGGAAGAGGAAATTTGGAGATCTATTAGATTCAAAGAAATCTTTTATTCTTCAAGCCTTTAAAGTCCTTTTGACCAGATTACAAAGGAAAGGCAGTTTCCTGTTTGGCACTTTCCCTGACAACTATATTTTGGAGAAGTAGATGCTCACTTTTTCCCAATATATTCAGAGTCACAGTTGATGTAACTCTGTTACTCTCAAAAGGGAACATGATTCTGGAGAAGGAGGGATGGAGCAGTGGGAAGAATGCTGGCCTCATGGATGACTCTGGTTACTACTTAGGCATCCTGGCAGAAGTTCTGCCACAGTTAATTACTAAAGCCATAACAGTATAGCAGCATTCTATATAGGTAAGAGTACCTTAAAGTAATATCCACGAAGACATTTCATATCATACTCCTTTGTGTTAAAATGCTTATTACAGCTTTACCGAAGGTATGCCCATATAATGAGTACATTAATAGTGATTTCATTCACAGTGATTCACTGCTATGGGATGAATTAAAATAGAATGATTTAAGATGCAAGCATTTTAAATATGACTAAACCTCTGATAGCATCCTTTTTTTTTTTCATAGCTTCCTTTCCTTGGCTAGCTCTTTAAAATAAGTACAATGAGACTCTTATTTAGGTGAATTGATTCACAGTGCTCTGCTTTTTGTTTTCTGAAATGACAGGTTTATTATAAAGGTCAGCCTGGAAGAGCTACGGCTTTAAGTATAACTCCTGAAATGGAAAGAGTAAAGAAGAATCAAGAAAATATTAGTTCGGCAAGTTGTTTTATTCACTTGGGGCTATCGCAAAGGACATGTCCTGTATATTCTTTACTTGCAAACCTGTTTCCTCCTTGTGAAAATAAAATCGATTTCCAAGAAACCTTTGTAATATATGCCATAAGTCCACGTATTATTTCAGATGACTTCCAAAAGCTGCCACTGTCTAACTTTGTATTATCCTGCAGCTCTTTGTTGATATTTCCAGATGTGACCAACACTTACATTTAAAGTCTTGTTTTAAACTGTATTATGTTCATTTAAACAATGATTCATGTTATTTTAGCCAGTGTCTTTGAAAGTAGTAAAGTCTTTGGTGTGTAAGTTAAACAATTGTTATTTTACAGATGTATTCCATTGAATGTGGATTGTTAAATCCTCTCTGCAAAACAAAATAAGAAATGACTCATTACTCCAAAGTAAGGATTTAGAGGGGAAAAAAATCTTTAAATATATTTAACACAGAATTCAGTTACTCATTAAACGCCCTTGGTGCACATCGGTGTCTTATTCGGGGAGTGTGCTTTCTCTTAGGAAATACCAGGGCTTCCGTTCTGAATGCACATATGCCCTCGGGTCTGCAATAATTGGTATCCTAATCTTATACATAATCAGCTTCGCAAATAGCAGTGTGCTGATGGTCAGATGTCAAAAAGAGCTTTATGCCTAGGAATCAGCATTTAGGCTTTACAGTGCACAGCTCTCTAGTGGTATTTCTGTCCAGAGATGCTGATTGTATTCAACATAAACTGCCTTGAAGTGGGGGCTGCTTAGAGGGAACCTAAATTTGTTACTTATTGATTCTTGTCGTCTGCAGTGGGCAAATAAAAGGAAATAGAGGGATGTTCCGTATGCATTCTTTCAGTGTTATGGTGGGAAATGGGGAAATAGAGAAATGGAAAAATAAATTTCGGTTCCATTTAGCTTTGGATTTTCCCTGTTTAAGTGTGATAACCACTTTTACTGACACATTGTTAGTGGATGTTGGGCACTCACACATTTGTTTTCAGTTGGTAGAGAGATTTAGGTCATCTTGGCTGCAGCCTTTAAAGGAGACCATCTCGAGAGTAAAATTTTAGATTGTTATTCTAGAACGAAATGTAATTCACCAAACAAGTTACCTGGGAAGTAATTCACGATACGTTGTATATGTTTCACTCACTTGGGAAGCTTGAAAAAGTTATGTAATTTTTTTCAATTATGAATGTCTGATTTTTAAGTATGTTCTACTATTTACTTTGCAGGTAAAATATACCCAGGACCAGAGACAGATGAAAGGTAGACCAAGTCTGATTTTAGATACACCTGGTCTCAGACATGTCAAAGAAGCTCAAAATCATATTTCAATGGTAGGGTCCAACCAGGTCCTCCATCTGTGACTAAAACATACTAAGGAATGGTGCCACCCAATGCACTGATGGCGTTGTTCACCATTAATCTGGATAACTAACAAAGCATGGAAAGGCCGATGGGCCCGTCCTCTGGGGGGGAGCTTTCTAATCACACTGAAATGTAATGAAAATATTTAGTCTAATAAAATAATTTTTCTCAGTGACTTTTTGGGTGTGTTTTTTATTTCTAACGTGACTACTGTAAATGTACTTTATGAAAGATATTTGGTTGGACTTCTCTTCAGTTCATTTTAAGGTTGAGTTTGGTGTGTTTAAATGTTTAAGGAATATAAAAATACGTATTTTTTAAGAACAGTTTCATGAGATGTATTTTATATACCATAAAGTTCACTCATTTAAAGTATACAATTCAGTGGTTTCTAGTATAATTTACAGAGTTGAACAACCATCACCTTAATCCAATTTCAGAACATGAAAAACATGTTTTGAAATATATATATGTTTTTGTAATTATATACAAAAATATATATATATAATTATTGGTAACTCTCAATCTAATTTTAAATAATATGGTTTTCTTGAATAATTGTGTAGAAATACCTTATCATTTTATTGCATACTAAAGTTTAAGAGATAGGATATTAATTTATACCTAAGTGAGTTCGTTTTAGGAAGTAACCAGGATTTTAAAAATATATCTTTTTAACACTTCTTACTGATATACAGGTTTGTATATTAAAAGAGCTGCTAACCGTAATGATGAAAAACATTGTGAAAATGTCAGCTTGATTTCTGATGCTAGGAAACTGAAGTTTCAGACATTATTTTTGGAATAATTGGAAAAGATACATCTATGTAGAAAATAGGTGCAGCTGGTACAGTGACAACCGTCGTTATATCAAAATTTTGTGAGTTGTGTGACAATCAGGAAATTTCAGTTTGAGTTAATATGGTTTTTCCCTTTTTCAGGTGAAATATCATGAAGATTTTGAGAAGACAAAGGGAAGGGGCTTTACTCCTGTTGTGGATGACCCCGTGACAGAGCGAGTGAGGAAGAACACCCAGGTCGTCAGCGATGCTGCCTATAAAGGTGTCCATCCTCACATCGTGGAGATGGACAGGAGACCTGGAATCATCGTTGGTAAGCTGACGGGCCTGCTTGGCAAGTCTGCACAGTCAAAAAGATCGTGCTTGCCCTGGCTTTAAAATTCGCTTCCTTATTCATCGGACTCCTCCTCAAATGCTTGAGGTGGTGCCCAGGTGAAAGTGGACCACAGGTAATATTGTTTGACACCATGTTGGATGGGATTCATGGCCTTTGCCAGGTATCATTGCAAATCCATTCTGTTGTTGGACGTCCTCTGTCTTTAATAACCTTCTGGTCTTAAGAGTGTTCCTACTTGTTAGGCAAAGAAGCCCAGATATCAGACATGGGTGATAATGAAGGATGAGCAATTTTTTTGTTTCCCTTTAGCTTATGTACTGTATAATTGTACTGCAGACATTGTCTGCATGGGTGACATAACAGAAGTAATCCCATTTACGTCCTTTTACCGCAAATAGACATGCCAGAGAGATTCTGATGATTTCCGCAATATGAATAGCTTATATATTTTTTAATATTATCTCTGAACTGGGAGAATCGAGAGCTGTCTGAAAGTCTCACAAATCAGAGAGGAAGGAACCTCTCGTCCTGCTGTTCCTTCTTGTCAGCCTGGGAAAATCTTAGGAACATAGTGTTGAATGGTGACAGAGCAAGGCTTATACTAAAATCTAAGGCAGGGCTAGAAAGGAAATTTTTAGTAATTTCTGTGCTGAAGTTTGGGAATAGGTGACTAGAATTTCTAATACCTGAAATTTTTACTAATTTTTCAATTTGTTCAACATTTGTTTCTGTTGTAGGGGGAGAAGTTTTTGATTTTTATTTTGTTTTCTTAGACAAAAACCTTGTAGTTGCTTCTTATGAATTACTCACATGTCCTTAATCAGGAGTTTTAACCCAACATTCTACCTGTTTCAGTGTGTGGAGAGCACGAGTGGTGAGGGTTCAGGGATGCAGGGAGTTGTCTGGCGTGCACGTGTGTTGGGTGATGATTCGCAGGCTCCCCATGGAACGTCAATGAACTAGGCAACTTAACTTTGATCCCAAAGTTTTCTTAGCAAATCCAGTGAGTGTGAATATCCCTTTGTTCTCTGAAGTAGGCTGTACAGTGGGTTTGCCTATTACATGCTTGCTTTTTGCATACGCCCCTTTTCAGACTTTTGCTTGACTCTCTCGGGTGCTGACTTTTTTTTATTCATTCTTGGTTTGTTGATTTCTTCCTTTGGTAAAAGACCTCAAAGTTTGGCGCACAGATCCTGGCTCCATCTTCGACATTGATCCCCTGGAAGACAATATTCAGTCTAGAAGTCTACATATGCTCTCTGGTACTGCTTACATTTTGAGTTCCTCCCCATTTACGTGGTTTTGTCCTCAAAGGGAAGCTACTGTGAGCTGTGGAGGTTCATTGTGCCGTTTGTGTAGTGTAAATTTTTAAGATTGGAATTTGAAAAACTGACAGAGTTGCTGTGCTATTTAATCATTTATGAAAACAAAACTTGCCAAAGGGCTTTTTAATATATCCTAGATTAGTTTGTTCTAGATTTATTTGAAAGGTGTCTAGAGCTTACTTACATCTCCTTTTTATTAGTGAATATGATTTTAGAGGTTTTCTGGGCTTTCAAATGCAGCCATTTGGACTGCACTAAACTGCTAAGACATAAAGGAGATTTGTTTCATGAAAAACACAACATTTTAAAGGTATAGTTCTTTAATGTAAAGACTTCTTCAATTTAAATAATTCTATGTAAAACAGTGAGGAGATTTTCTATATAGTACCATAAATGTCTTAAAATAGATTTTCAAGTATCCTTAACATTTATCTCTGGGTTTTTAGAAAATGCAAAATCTGTCGTTTACCTAGGAAGTTTATTTGACTTTTAACTTAGACTGCATGTTTACAATTAAAAGCAAAACCCAAATGGTTCGGATGTTTGGGTATAGTGATAGCATGGGTTGACTTTTCAGACTTTCAGACCACATTTAGCAAACCGAAGATTTGACAGTTATGCAAGTATTTTAAAAATATAAATAGATATATCGTTTAGGGCTTGCTCTGCCCCCTGATTTCTAACTCCACGTTTGATTGCCGACATTAACAAAATTGAAAGCCCAAGGCAAAGTAGCGATTCTAATATTTGTATAGTTAATTTGATCCACATAATCAGCCAACTTGTATTTAATTTTCTAAAAATAAAGGCAACAGATGCTGTATCCTTGGTGATATTTGAAAAGAATTATTTATAACCAAACCTTTTGTTTGATAGAAGTTTACTAGTTTGCCAGTGTTTTCTTAGTTCTTGTCAATTTCCCATCCCTCATCTCTCCTTTAAAATTGAGACAAAAAATGAGTATGAATGATCATTAAGCCATTTATATAGTTGATGCAATGTGTGCTGAAGTTTGGGAATAGGTGACTAGAATTTCTAATACCTGAGCTTTTGGATTGTAATTTAATAAGGGATTCTTTTTCTTCCTTGTTAAATTTTTAAGTAATTTTTTTGTTTCCTTTGTTCTTCAAGTCACTTCATCACAAGTATGAATATTTTCCCTCCAATATAGAAAAGGCGAATCATTATAGGAGACAACGGTCTCGATCTCATTCGAGCAGTACTTTTGGTACAGGTCTGGGAGATGACAAATCAGAAATATCCGAGATTTACCCTAGCTTTTCGTGCTGCAGTGAGGTAACAAGACCGTCTGATGAAGGAGGTATCAGACGTTAACCACTCTCAGAAATTTTTTTTAATGTGCCACAAGCGTGTCTTTAACAAATGTGTCACTTTTGCGCAAACGTTTGGCCTGGGTGTATCTGAACATTTTAAATTATGTTTAGAAAGTTAAGTCTTTTTTTTTTTTTTTTAACTACTAATTTGCATCTTTGCCTGCTTGTTTTTCCTGTCTTACTTCACTGTTTTTGCTACAAATGGATCTTTAATGACAACAGCGTCTTGGGATCTGCTGCATGAGTTTGTTTCACAGGAGTTGTATGTGATGAATATACACAGCCAGAGTGGAAACTTGAGTTCTACGGAGTTCGTATCTGATTTCCATTAAGGAAAATCAATCTTACGGTTATATTTGAGTGGCTAAGAGGTTGCTATGAATTTGTGTGTTTAAATATTGATATATAGCTGCAGACAGAGTTAGATCTTGCCAAAAAGAAATGGGGTATGTACTTGGGATATGAGATTTTTTTCAATGGAAAATACTGTTGATTGTTAATAATCTTCTCTGTATTTTATATAACCATACTTTTCCTCTACCTTCTCCTGTTTTCTGCATCCAAGCTGGTGGGCTAGGTCTAGAAATTGGTAGTTGAAATTGTTTTGGATGTTAACTACTCCTTCTGATAAAGCTGTTGTTAAAGGTTGAGACTGAGGTGTAGCTACGGCTTAGTGACATGGGGACGGAGAGAGTAGCGAGCACGGAAGAACAAAAGGAAAACGGAATTTCCTTTTCAGCCAAAGTCCATAGGGCTGAAATCCCTGAGGCAGGAGATTTTGAAGTTGAGCAGTTTAACATCTTGGGGGAAAATGTAATGGGACTGAGGACCTGATGAAACTATGAAATCTCTTGTAGTTGAATAATTGTTTTTTGCATTCATAGGAAAGCACCTATGAGAATAAAATCAGTTATAGTCAATACGTCTTAAATTATACATTCAGACTGGCCCTACCTTGGTAGAAAAGTTTTTCTTTTCTTAAATTTCAGATTTGTTGAGGTATAATTGACATATAAAATTGTAAGATATTTAAAGTGTACATCGTGGTGGTTTGATATATGTGTACGTTGTGAAAAGATGTCCCCCCACCTAGTTAGTTAACACATCCATTACCTCACGGATTTATCTTTTTTCTTCTTTTATTTTCTTTTTTTTTGGCAAGAACACGTAAGTTCTACTCTGTCAGCAAATTTCATCTATACAATACAGTGTTATCAGCTATAGTCACTGTGTTATTCTTTAGATCCTTGGACCTTATTCACTGTATAGCCGAAAATTTGTACCCTTTTACCAATCTCTCCCTACCTCCCGCACCCCCCAACCTCTGGCAACTACTACAGACATGTGTCTGCTTATCTAACAAAGGATTCAGTAACTTTTTTTTTTTTGGACTTAGGGTTGTTGATTTCTCCCTTCAGTGGCTCTAGAGGTACAGAATAATGTTGATGCCTGATGAGATAAATAAAACCCAAAGCAAATACGAGAACAAATTTCGATCAACCTTATTTAACTTTACTCAGCTCAGTGTACTGGAGCTGATGTCTCTCGCAAATGCGACGCACCTTAGTGTTCGCTGCGTCAGGGACCCTTTTACTTCACGTCTGTACGCACAAACAAGGCATTCATTCATTTATTCACCAAATGTTTGAGTGCTCTTTGTACACCAGCCAAGAGCTCGGGTCTGGCAATACATACAGCATTGAGCAGCAGAGATATGCATCTGCTCTAAGGCGCTTGGAGTCTGGGGCGGGGGACCCTGACATTGAGCAGATACTTACCCAAGTAATATATAATTATGGACTGAGTAAGTGCTCTGAGGGGAGGCCATGGGGGCCACAAAGCGGGGGGGACTCCATCTGGCTTCAATGTCAAGGAAGCCTTCCCCAGGGAAGGAAGATTTGAGCTGAGATGTGAATGCTAAATGGAAGTTAACTAGGCCAAGGGGGCTTTGGGAAAATAATGTTTCTCCTTGAGAGAACAGAGCACAGAAGTGGTGCATCAAAGAGACATTCAAATGGAGGCATCGAGCAGGCAGTCAGAGTCCACAGGAGGAGGCTGCACTGCAGATAAATGCAGAAGTCATCACCTGTGTCCGTGATCGGGTCTTGGATGAATCTACGCAGAGAAGGAGAATTTGAGACCCCTCTGGCAGGTTCCCCAGCTCCTTCCACGCCAGGTTCGCGCGTCTCCAATTCCGCTGGCTCCTCTAAGGCTGCATTCTAAAAACCTCCTGCTGTTGGTTTATCTCCCCTTTCTCCTCTCAAGCCACCACTCCTTTTCTTCCTAAGTATTTCTAGCAAGAGGACCCTACACTATGCCAAACTGCATAAGAAAAGTCTCCATTAAAAGAAAGTACCCATAAATATTCTTGCACTTATACAAGAATTTGGGGAAGAGTAACGCATGGTTAAGAGGGAATGATTACATTTTTTGAAGTGGAGGAATTTCAGACTCCATGAAGGTGGTAGGGGGAGATTTTTTGACAGGAAGGAGTGTCTCAGTAGCTTAAATAATGCCTTGTAAGAAAAGCTGACTCCTCGGAGGCATTTATAACCTGTCATTTCTCAGTTACCTGTTACAAGGCCTGTGTTCGGTGACATTTCCAATTTTGGAAACTAGATATTGAGGTATGAAGCAAAAGTAAAGATGCACCAGTAAGTTTTATAACCTTAACACGAGTGGTGGCATACCCACAGGGTGTCTGAGTTAATTCAAAAAGATTTTAGAATATCTGGGAATATGCTCCGAATTCTGTTTATCTTAAGTGAAGCCCATCACATTCTACTGATCGGTACTTTATGTCTGTCTGTATTCAAATGATCAGTGACGCATCTAACCTAGTAAGTCCAAAACCACCTTCCCACCTTCCCCGCAACATCTGCTGCTTTTCCAGCCTTCCCAGCTTGCTAAGTAGCACCTGCGGCTCTCCAGATACGGACTTCAGACTCTTAGGAATCATCCTCCACACTTGTCTTTTACTCCCATCCACATCCAAACCATTAGCAAATCTTGTCAGCTCTCCCGGGAAAAATATATCCAGAATCTGACCCCTTGTGCCCACCTCTGCCCTCGCCGCTTGTTTTCAGCTACTGCCCTCTCTCCCTCGGGTCATCACAGAAGCTTCCAGACTAGTTTTCTGCTTCTGCTCTTTCCACCCTGAGCCACCAACCCTCTGCCCTGGTCTGTTCTCCACGTGGCAACCAGAGCATCTCTTTGAAACACAAGTTAGATCATGTCATTCTTTTGCTACCATTTCATTCGGGGTATATCCCAAATCCTTACCGTTGCCTTCCAGGGCCTGCACCTGATACGAGCCCTGACTGCCGCCCTGAACCATTTGCTTCCTTTCTCGGTAGACTCGTCCACTCCCGCCATCCTGGTCTCCCTGCTTTACTCACATCTTCCAAGAAAGCACCCACCCTGGGCCTTCACATCTGCTGTTCCCCCTGCTTGGAACACTCGCCCTCCTGCCACACCCAAGGCATGTGCTTGCCTGGATCCGTTTTGCTTCATGTTTCTGCTCAGATGTCACTTTATCAGAGAGACCCTCTCTAACTACCAGACTACCCCTTCCCATTCTGTCCGTCCCTTTACTCTTTCTTCATAGCACTTGACACCTGAAATATGTATTTATTTGTTTATGTGCTTGTCTGCCTCTGCCTCGCTGGGATAGACGCCCCACAATGGCTGGGATATTGACTATTTTGTATACTACTCTATCTCCAGCTCCTAGAATAAGCACTCAGCAAATATCTGGTGAATGAATGAAATGGTCAAAGTAATATTTTGTTCCACTCATGCCACTTCACTTTTTAAACAAATTGAAATATAATTGACATACAACATTGTATTATTGTAGTAGTACATTGTAATAATTGTAGGTGTACAAAAATTAATATCTAAAAAATTAGAACTGAATATACAAATACATGTGAGTTTTTTTAAAAATTAAAATTCCATTGTGGAAGCCTTTCAAGAAAATTCTTCCATTTTTGTTTTGATGATGTTTTGATATGTTTCAGTGACATTAAAGCATAGCTGAACAAAAAAACCCTAAAGTGGAAACATTCCCAGGGTGTTTTCTTTTCTGGTCGGGAGGCAAAGAAGTAGTCTCCATGATGTCTTGGTTGCTTTGAAATTTGGGGTCCCCTTTGAAATGTGTATTACACTGGGCCCTGGTAATGAGATGCTGAGTGACTCCATAGAAGGAGGAAACTTTTATGGTGATGACAGCTGTTTGATGAAAACCTTTACTGTCCTTAGTTAATCATATGCATTTATTTAAATACTATTCTAGAAATTGGAAAGAATTTTAGAACAATACTTGTTAGTGGTAAGATGAAGAAAAACAGGTAATGTTCGTATTGAGAGATGCCATCTTTTTTCGTACAATTATTTTAAATCTCATTAATAGCTTTTTAATATGATTTTTTAAAATTTATTTACTTTACTTATTTATTTTTGGCTGCATTGGGTCTTTGTTGCTGCGCGCGGGCTTTCTCTAGTTGCTGCGAGCAGGGGCTACTCTTTGTTGCGGTGCGCGGGCTTCTCATTGCGGTGGCTTCTCTTGTTGCGGAGCACGGGCTCTAGGTGCGTGGGTTCAGTAGTTGTGGCTCGCAGACTCTAGAGCACAGGCTCAGCAGTTGTGGCGCACGGGCTTCATTGCTTCGCGGCATGTGGGATCTTCCTGGACCAGGGCTTGAACCCATGTCGCCTTCATTGGCAGGCAGATTCTTAACCACTGTGCCACCAGGGAAGCCCTTTTTTCCAGATTTTATTGATTTCTTTAAATTTAGATTGGAATTTTATATGATAAAATGTGTTATGTCCTAGAAAGGTGTCCTTTAATGTTGGGCCGTCTTCCCGCCTTTGAGGTGACGTGTGTGGCAGCGCGGTCCCGTGGTGGACAGAACACTGTGTGGGGGCAAGAGACCATCCTGCTCTCCCACTGCTTGGTCTGGGTTCTCAGACGGTCACCTAACCTTAT